TTAGAACATTTTCACCACCCCCAAAACAATCCTACACCCTTTATCAGTCACCTACCCTTCTCATGCCTCTCAGCCCTAAGGAACTATTAAACTACTTTCTATGTATATAAACTTGCCTATTTTAGGCACTTCACATAAATGGAAACATATGTTTTATTTTCTTTCACTGGATTTTTGCTAAAGCAAGAACTTTTACTTTTTTGTTTTTTTTAGATAAGATCTGGCTCTGTCGCCTACATTAGAATGCAGGTGTGTGACTGGCCTCAACCTCTGCCTCCTGGGCTCAAGTGATCCTCCCACCTTAGCCTCCTGAGTAGCTGGGACTACAGGTGCTCACTATGCCTGGCTAATGTTTCCTTTTTTTTTTGTAGAAGCAGGGCTTGGCCCTTTTGCCCAGGCTGGTGGTCTGAAACTGCTGGGCTCAAGCAATTCACCCACCCCAGCCTTCCAAAGTGCTGGGATTACAAATGTAAGCCAAAGGACCCAGACAAGTTTTACATTTTCAAAAGATTTAAAAATAAAGTGACAAAGATCAAATGTGTTCAGCGGAGCTGAAAATATGTATACTATGTGGCTCTTCACAGAAAAAGTTTGTCGCCCCCTGAAATAAATGAAAAACTGGCCATGTGATGAAAATGGGTGAAGATTAGTGATGCGTACCTGGGGTTTACCTTATTTGCTGTACTTTTGTGTATGCTTATAATAAAATTAAAAAAAAATTTTTCTGAACCTGAGATGATGGAAAAGTCTGTGCTTCCTATTAAAACGAGTTCAGAGTACAACAGAAATTTTGAGGTAAAAATAGATAATGTTCAAAAGTAAAAAAGGTAATAAAATTCCTCATGAAGTCTCTGAAGTCATCTTTAAGTCAATGGTTTAAAAAAATTAAAATTTTGCTAAGTTCAACAAAAAAAATGAAGTCAGTGAGTAAGCACTATTGTCCACACTTGACTTCAAATGTGACCCACTTGGGAAGAGGAAGGGAGGGACATAATTTTCCAGTAGGATTTCTAATTGGTTGTTTCTGAAAGCATTATGAGGATCCTTAGAGATCACAAGGTCTTCTGAGATAAGTTCCCAGGATTAATTTTCAGACTTTTAAAAGGGTAGCCAACTGTCATTCATTCTCTAATTTCTCTTACCTCCTCTTTCTGCATTCACAGCTGACTCCACTGAATCAACACAGACTTCCATTAGAAATCCATTTGCTGCTCCTAAAATACATGGAGAACAAAGAGAGTTCATAAAGGTTCTATCTATCCAGACCAATTTACCACAAATAGTTTACATTTTGCTGCCAAAATGCAAATGTTCAATAATAGGTAAATAGATAAGTACACTAGCGCCCATGAATGCAATAAAATACCACATTAATTATTGAATTGATGCCTCTAGACTCAAATAGGTACACACACATATATATAAGAAATTATACTGGGAAAATGTACATTAAATGCCAAATTAATCTTCCTATAACATAGACCTCATCATCACATTCCAGCTAAGATTTTTACAATGCATCTCAATGCCTGCAGAATATATTTAAACTTCTTTATAAGGAATATATGTTTAAAAGTAGGACAGACTTCAACTCCATGTCTCACCAACTATTTATTGTGTGATCCTAGATTAGTTATCTATAAAACAAGGTAGATTTTAATATCTACCTCAGAGTAGTGAGGATTAAATGGGATAATGCATGTAAAGTGTATAGTCTCAAGAAACAAAAAATATTAGCTATTTGGCTGGGCATGGTGGCTCATGGCTGTAATCCCAGCACTTTTGGAGGCTGAGGCAAGTGGATCACATGAGGCAGGAACTGGAGACCAGCCTGGCCAACATGGTAAAACCCCATTTCTACTAAAAATACAAAAATTAACAAGGCATGGTGGTGTGTGCCTGTAATCCCAGTTACTTGGGAGGCTGAGACAGGAGAATCACTTGAACCTGGGAGGCAGAGGTTGCAGTGAGCCGAAATTACGTCACTGCACTCCAGCCTGGGTGACAGAGCAAGACTCGATGTCATTCCTTCTTATGTCTCCAGATCTCCCCAGTCCCTCCTCAATGCCTTCTCCTCCACCCAGAATTCCTTGTGGCTTCATCTTTGAATAAAATCTCCCAAGGAATATTTCCATGATTTTTATTCTCTCCCAAAGTACAATATTTTATGTCCTTCTTTTGAACTCATTTAACTCTTCGTGAGTTATAAAACCCCAATTGTTCCTCCTTAAAACATGAATTACTTTCTACCATTTATTATTTATGCAAATAAATGTCTGATCACTTTTACTTGACTTAGAGTGCCTTAGTTTTTGTTTTGTTTTTTAATACAGAGTCTTGCTCTGTCACCCAGGCTGGAGTGCAGTGGCATGATTTTGGCTCACTGCAACCTCCATCTCCCAAGCTCAAGCAATTCTTGTGCTTCAGCCTCCTCAGTAGGTGGGACTACAGGTATATGCCAGTAGACCTGATTAATTTTTGTATTTCATGTAGAGATGGGGTTTCGCCATGTTGCCCAGGCTGGTCTCAAACTCTTGGACTCAAGCGATCCACCAGCCTCAGCCTCCCAAAGTGCTGGGATGACATGTGTGAGCCACCACGCCTGGTCTCCTAAGTAAGGTATTCATGTGAGAAATCTTTATTATCACCCATACCAAGAACAGTATCTACCATGGTACAGAATAATCAAATATTACTAAAGTCTGAATAATTATAACTTCATAAATATTAATGTATTTCTATTACAAAATGTGATGTAAACAGAGTTTTGAGTTTTTTCTGTAAGCATAAAATTAAAAAAAAATTAAAACAATGCACACTTCATGCAATGAGACCTAATAGAATGTTTCTCAAATACTGGTAATGGTCAATCCTGGTGGGGTGTGATTTGAAATTATTTTTATTTTCTTTTTACTTTTCTTTATTGCTTTTTTCCTACCCAATATTGCTTTTATAATTTAAAAAATGAATTTTTACTTTGAGAAACAAACAAAACAAAAACCTATCATCTGCTAACATCAAACTGCAACTGCCCATTTAAGACTATCAGTTCCAAACTGAAAGAGTAAAGCGTCCATCTATGCTCTTAACCAACAGCACTGCACTGTTAACTCCATGAGTTTCCTGATAGCTACCAGACCAGCTGTCAGATCAGTGGCACTGGCCCATGCTGCAGGGGGACTATTTGCTTCACACAAGAAAGAACCCCAGCCAGAAGATGGAGAGATGTACAAAAACGGCTATGACAGAAGGCAGAATAGGCAGTTGTCCCAAGCAACAAAGTTATAGAGACCAAAGGAGAAGCAGCAGCAGTTCTCAAAGTGTAGCAGTCCAGGTAGCTTTGGGGGCCTCTGAGACTCTTTCAGAGTCTGTACGGTAACAACCATTTTCATAATAATACTAAGACTTTATTTGCCTTTTTCATTCTGATCTCTCACAAGAGGCGTTTTATTTTTTTACTTCTTTTGAGACTGAGTCTCACTCTGTCACCCAAGATGGTGTGCAGTGGCAGGATCTCAGTTCACTGCAACCTCCATGAAGAGGCGTTTTCAAGAGGCTACTTGACACGTTAGACTGAAACAAGCAACGGGTATGAGAATCCAGCTGTCTTCCAATAAAACATATTGAAGAAACTTGCAAAAATATAAAATTTGCCATTCTTTTGCTATTTTGTTGTTTAGGAACATTTCTTTTTCATAAAAAATGTTATGTCAACATGTAATGGGTTTACTATGGTTATTTTCTAATCAATCAATATTTTAAAATTTTATTTATTTTTTTGAGACGGAGTCTTGCTCTGTCATCCAGGCTGGAGTGCAGTGGTACGATCTCGGCTCTGCCTCCTGGGTTTAAGTGATTGTCCTGCCTCAGCCTCCCGAGTAGCTGGGATTACAGGCATGCGCTACCACACCCCGCTAATTTTTACACGTTTAGTAGAGACGGGTTTCACCATGTTGGCCAGGCTGGTCTCGAACTCCTGAGTTCAGGTGATACGCCCACCTTAGCCTCCTAAAGAAAAATTTGTTTTAATTTCTAATACAGTCAAAATCGATAGATGTAATCCATATAAAGAAAAGATCTGTGAGGATCTCGATAACTTTTAGGAAGGTAAAGGAGTACTGAGATAAAAGTTTGGAGGATCCAAGAGTTCACAGAGGAAGAGGAGGGACTTGCCAAATTCTCTGGCACCAAGGAAGAACTCGGGACTTGGAGCAGCCACAAGCTCGGCCACTTGGTAGCTGCGTGGTTTTGGGGATAAGCCCGGTCTCTGCCGTGGCAACTACAGGTAACTGCAGGTTAGGAACTGGGCTCCACGCTCGACAATTAACCATCCCAGCGGGGTACCGGCTGCTGGTGCCAGGTGAGGGGATGGATACTGGCATCCTCGAGTGGTGACAGAAAAAACATGAAGCTGAAGTTAACCAACTCGCACAAGGTCGCACGGCCGTTAAGTCGGGACCCTGGAACTCGAACCATGGCTTCACGGCTGAGCCATTCTCGCTACCTGCACCTCGTCACGCCCTCGGTTTTCACATCTTTAAAGCCTCAAAGATAGAAGGTGCCGCCCACGGGATTAGAAGGAGCTGAGGAAACGACTCCAGGGCAAATCACCACTGACCACCACTCCCGCCAGCCCGTCCCGGGGAGCCGAGTCGGCCGACCATCCCCTCCCCCGCCACCATCCGCACCGGCCTTCCCGGACGGTATCCGCGCCCGTTTCCGCTCAGAGGAGGCCCCCTGCCTCTTCATACTCCACGCGTTCCTCCTTCGTGCGCCTGCAGTTTGCACTAGGAGTTTGGGCTCCGGAGCGCAGGAGCAGAGAAGCGCGTCAACAGCTGCGCGCTACTCTGCGCGCGGCCCCGACGCCTACGCCCCAGCAGCCCCCGCGAAAGCCGAGTCGCGGAGCGCAGACGCAGTTACTGTTTGCCCCAGTCCCCGGAGAAGGCAGGGCTCCCGCTATCCGACCCGGAAGTGCTTCTCTTATCCGTGGCGGAGAAAGGAGACGGTGGATCCCTGGGTTGCGGAAGAGGTGGCCGTGCACTGTCGTCAGTATGCAGCGATTGCTCTTTCCGCCCTTGAAAGCCTTGATGGGGAGGCAGTATCTGCGGCTCCTGGCTCGTAGGGCGGCGCCTCGAGCACAGGTACAGCACTGCAGCAGACTCCGAGTCGCGGGAGCGGGGATGGAGTGCAAGGGCCAGGATAAAGATAATGGAGAGCCCCCACATCACGTTTCCGGAGCTCCTTACAGTGTACTCACAACTCATTTCCTTGTGTTCAGAGCCCCTAGGTTCAGAACTGGACCATTGACCTGCTGTGTGGTATTGGCCAAGTGATTTAAACTTTGTTCTTCAATTTCCTTCTCTGTAAAATGGGGATAACAATACTACTTTAAGGTTTGTTATGGGGATTACATTCTTTAATATACATCAGACCTTTAGCACATGGTAAAAGCTGAGTAATTTTTACCCGTATAGTTTATTTTTGCTTAAAAAGTTCCAAGTAGTCAGGTGAGGAAGTATAACTGCATTCTATAGAGAAGGAAATTGAGGCCTAAAGTTAACTTTTCTAAAGGTGACCATTTAATCAGAACTAGGAAACCGAGCATGGATCTTTGGACTTGTAGGGGTATAGTCAGAAGAGGGCATGTATCTTGCTTAACTAGTAATTATTGAGTGGTTATTATTATATATTAGGTACTGGAAAAAGAAAGATAAATATTACAAGACTCCTGCCCTGGAGGAAGTCACCGTTTATTCAGTTATGAAATCCTTATCATGGTCTCATTATATAAACAAATGATGTTAGAAACAAAGTAGCAGGAGAGAGAAAGAGCAAGACTGACAAGACACTGCCATCCCAAAGCTCATAGTTTAGTGGGAGATACAGACAGATGTGCTGCAAAGTCATGTGCTGCATAATAACATTTTGATCAGCAACAGCCACAGATATAGTGGTTGTCCCATAAGATTATAATGGAGCTGCCCTTCCAAGTGTACCTTTTTTTAAAAAAAAATCTTTTTCTCTAAATTTCTTTTTTAGAGACATGGTTTTACTTTGTCACCCAGGCTGGAGTGCAGTGGCATGATCATAACTCACTGCAGCCTCCAACTTGGAACTTCTGGTCTCAAGCCATCCTGTTGCCTCAGTCTCTTAAATAGTTAAGACTACAAGTATGTGCCACTGTGCCTAATTTTTTTTTTTTTTTTTAGACAGAGTCTAACAGTGTCACCCAGGCTGGAGTGCAGTGGCACAATCTCGGCTCACTGCAACTTCCATCTCCCCGGTTCAAGCAGTTCTCTGCCTCAGCCTCCCAAGTAGCTGGGATTACAGGCACCCACCACCAAGCCTAGCTAATTTTTATAGTTTTAGTAGAGACGGGGTTTCACCATCTTCACCAGTCTGGTCTTGAACTCCTGACCTTCTGATCCGCCTGTGTCAGCCTCCCAAAGTTCTGGGATTACAGGTGTGAGCCACCATGCCTGGCCCAGTGCCTAATTTTTTAAAAAATAGAGATGGGGTCTCGCTATGTTACCCAGGCTGGTCTCAGACTCCTGGCCTCCCAAAGCGTTGGGATTACAGGCATGAGCCATTGTACCTGGCCACATTTTAAAATCTTTTATACCGTATTTTTACTGTAACTTTTCTATGTTTAGATAAACAAATATTTACCATTGTGTTACAGTATTGAGTACAATAACACACCATACAGATTTGTAGCCTAAAAGCAATAAGCCATACCATATAGCTCTGGGATATAGTAGGCTATACCATCTAGATTTCTATAAGTACTTTTTTTTTTTTTGAGAGAGTTACGCTTTGTCGCCTAGGCTGGAGTGCAATGGCGCGATGGCTCACTGCAACCTCTGCCTCTCAGGTTCAAGTGATTCTCCCACATCAGTCTCTCAAGTAGCTGGGACTACAAATATATACCACCATGTCCAGCTGATTTTTGTATTTTTAGTAGAGATAGTGTTTCACCATGTTGTGCAGGCTGGTTTTGAACTCCTGACCCAAGTGATCCGCCCACCTTGGCCTCCAAAAGTGCTGGGATTACAGGTGTGAGCCACCACACCCAGCCATTAGATTTGTGTAAGTCTATGAGGTTCACACAATGATGCAAGTGCTTAAGAATGCATTTCACAGAACACATGTCCCTGTTGTTAAGGGATGCTTGACTGTATGTTAGTGTATTAAGGGCCATTCAGTATACTGTGGGAATGACCTATTGCAGACCATGAGAAGCCTGGGAACACATTCCAGAGGAGGTGACATGTAAGCAGAGATCTGCAGTAGGTATTATCAATCAGGGGACAGGAAGTGTACCAGCCAGAGAGAAATGTTTAATGACCTAGATGTGAAAGAAAATAATTCATATCTGTAAGCAGAGTGAAGTCTGTATGCAGAGATGAGAAGATTGATGTAGTTTGGGATAGGCTTGAGTGAGGCAGACTTGAAAACCAATTGGAAAACCAGTTGAAAGGTTGATGCAGTAATAAGGGATCATGACTTACCAAGGCGTAGCTGTGGGGATGCAGCCGTACAGGGTACTTCACCCTAATCAGAATGGGGTTGAGTGTGGTTAGCAGCCATTCCGTTTCTCCAATTGTAATTTGTCTATCTTGATCCTTAGTGTGATTGCATCAGATGCCCTTTGAGGCCAGAGCAATACAGCACCATCTCTGAAGTAGCTTTGCAGTCTGGAAGGGGTACAGTGTCCCTTCCCTCAAAGGCTGCTGAGCGGGTGGTGGGCAGATGGCTCCTTGTCTGCAGTGGAACAGTGGCTGGAGCAGTTATTCTTGGTGGAGTAACTAGGTGAGTAATTTGCTCATAGTGAGTTGAGTATTAGGATCATTAGTAGAAACACAGGATGATTGAGGAGAAAGGCTTTTTTTTTTTTTTTTTTTTTTTTTGAGACAGAGTCTTGCTCTGTCATCCAGGCTGGAATGCAGTGGTGCTATCTTGGCTTACTGTGACCTTCGCCCAAGTTCAAGTGATTCTTCTGCCTCAGCCTCCCAAGTAGCTGGGACTACAAGTGCCCGCCATCATGCACAGCTGATTTTTGTATTTTTAGTAGAGATGGGTTTTCACCATGTTGACCAGGCTGATCTTAAACTCCCGACCTCAGGTGATCTGCCCACTTCGGCCTCCCAAAGTGCTGGGATTATAGGCATGAGCCACTGCATGCAGCTGGCTAAAGGAATTTTACAGAGTATCTAGTCTAGCTCCCTCATCGTACAGATGGAGAAACCGAGGCCTTAAAGAAGGAACATGTCTGATGGCTTGCCCTGCCATAGAACAGTTGAGTGTTTTGTTAGTAGGAGCCTTCTAGAAACACTGGTTTACATCTTAACTAGTACCTGTGCATTGTTTATGTATCTTTTTTCTTCCAATCAGGGTTCAAGTTTGTCTCAAAACTTTTTTTACAGTTTGTTTGAATTAAACCTAAAGAAGTTCCGTACATCACAATTGGTTCATGTTTCTTAGGTTTATTTAAATCTATGAGGAGACTATAGATTTAGATACTCCTTCCATCTCCCTCTTTTAGTTGCTGAGGAAACATAAATCATTTGTCCTATGATTTTGCACAGTCTAGATTTTGCCAATTATATAACTGTTGATGTTTAACATGTCCCTTTGTCCCCTCTCTTTCCTGTGACTGGACGGTTGCTTGATCAGATTCAAATTGGGGATGAGGGAGCAAAATACTTCAATAGGTGAACAGAACATTCATGAATATCTGGTGTCTATTACAGATGTTAACAACCATTGATTACTATTGCCTAGATCCATTATTTCATTAGCATAGCAAAATTATAATATTTTATTAGCTCAACTCTAAAAAGCTTTCCCTCATCAACAATTTGGATGTCTCAAGCTATAGTTTATATAGGAAAGGCAGGATAAATACTTGATTCTTCTTTCCCTTTATTTACCATTTTCAAAATAATAATTTGGTCCCCCAAATCCTCCAAAAGCAACAAATAAAGCATTTGAGTTTTTAAGGCTCATTATGAGCTCATAGGTTCAAACACACTTGATATGTTTTATTCCATTGTGATGATGGTGTTAATGATTTGCTCAAATGGTCCCATCTTGAGTCAGTGGGCATCTCCTGAAATTGGCTCTAGTGACTTTTTGGCAGGGCCCTAATTACCTTTGATAGCTTCCTTTCTAGTATGACAAGATGTTCCAAGCTCACCTTGTACATTTCTTGCCTCAGGCCTAAAATCAGCCTTTTACTTTAGGAATCCTAACTCCTTTTGGTGAAAACGTTTCTGATTTTAATCAAATGTGTCTTCCTCAGATTCTCTTCACATTCCACGTCCCTTATTTAAAAATACCTTATGTGTTATATAAGTTATGAGCAAGTGCAACAAATTTGAATTTTATTGTCTATAAATTTACCCAAGAATCTAAACCTGTGTACATATAAACAGATCTCTTTTCCCTGGTAAAGAATGTTGGTTATGCATTTAGAACACATTTCTTTGGCTGTAGGGATTGATTTTGCCTGTCAGGGAATGCTAGGAATTGAGTAAAAAGAAAAAAAGTAATTGGGGAGACTTGAATAAAAGGATTGAGAGAATGTAAGGGTAAATAAATTTGCACCTGATGGCAGCTGTTTCTGACAAAATTATAAGCAGTGAGAAAGAAATGTCTCAAAAGAGGAAACAAGGAAACAATGTGTTTACCTTGAATGACGTTAAGTTCAGATCCACTTGTTGCTGTAAACCTTTTGTGAGTAATCCAGCCTCATGCACACACCCCAAAATTTTTTTCCTATCCTAAGGTTGACAGAGTCTGGCCTCTCAATGGTAGATTGGCATTTAATAAAGGAGATGAAGCCACCTACAAGCCAAGAGGAATGGGAAGCAGAATTCCAAAGATACCAGCAATTTCCAGAATTTAAAATGTAAGTGTTAGAGAAAATTAGGTAAACATCCCAGTAGGCCTATTTAATCTTTTGCACTTAAACCCTTCAGAATGGTTAGGTTATTTCATGATCTTTGGTTCAGTTATGTTTAGTGAGCTCCTATTCTAAGCCTCTAAATCTAAAGTCATTCTGAGGCCGTTGATGAGGAAGAGGGCAGACCTACCAAGTTGCAGGACTGAGAGTTTTTGCATTCCATAAAAAAATAAAAATCAGAAGGATGTTTCCTCTTTCTTCTTTTTTGACTTCCCATTTCACCCAGCTTGAATCATGATATGACATTGGCAGAATTCAAGTTCATCTGGTACATGGAGTACTCACACCGAATGTGGGGTCGCCTTGTAGGCCTTGCATACATCCTGCCTGCTGCCTACTTTTGGAGAAAGGGCTGGCTCAGCCGTGGCATGAAAGGACGTGTTCTTGCCCTCTGTGGCCTAGTCTGCTTCCAGGTAAGATTTATTCAAGGCTGAGAAACCAGAAATGCTCCCAGGAGCTTCCTAGTTGACATTGTTTTTAAGGAAATAATCTCTGAGGCACTTTTAATAGAGTAGGTAAGAGAATGCATTTTAGTGTCACAGGCCTCGCTTCAAGCCCCAGCTCTGCCACTTAGTAGGGCAAATAACCTAACCTCTGAAAGCTATGATTTCTTTGCCTGTAAATGGGGATAATAGTGCTCAGCATGTACAGTTGTGTAAATATTAAATGAGATAATCCATATTTGAAGTACTTAGTTTAGTGCCTGGAATCAGTAAGCACTCAGTAGTATATTTTCATGTGTGGCAAGAAGTAGAGTTTGTTTCCCATCATGGGTATCTCCCTAAGTTCTTGTCTCTTCCCTTTTTCTAACTCACCTGCTGTAGGAAAGTGGGATCCCTGTGCTAGAATGCTACAGAAGCATACAGGAAGATTCCAAAAGAGAAGCATTTTGTGGGATGAAGGACTGTAGAATACAGATGTAGCTGAGAGATAGTCAGATATAAATGGCAATTAAAATCATGTAAGTTGAGCTCCGCTTAAGGAAGTACTCCCACAGTTAACAGGTTAGTGCTGCTAGGATGATGGAAAAAAAAAAGTTGGGTGAAACTGAGAGCCAGGAATTAAGGGAGAAGACACATAGGAGTATTTGGGTCAAGGTATAGAGATCCTGAAGGAGATTATCAGAGCATCAAAGAAACATCATCAAAATTTGACTAGGAAGAAGCTAATTGGTTAATTTAAGTCAGAAGCAGTAAGAAAATGAGCCAATTAGAAGGGGTTAAGGCCGGGCATGGTGGCTTATGCCTATAATCCCAGCGCTTTGGGAGGTGAAGGTGGGCATATCACTTGAGGTCAGGAGTTCCAGACCAGCCTGGCCAACATGGTGAAACCCCGTTTCTACTAAAAACACAAAAATTAGCCAGGTGTGCTGGCATGGTCCGGTAGTCCCAGCTGCTTGGGAGGCTGAGGCAGGAGAATCGCTTGATCCCAGGAGGCAGAGGTTGCAGTGAGCTGAGATCACACTACTGCACTCCAGCGTGAGTGATAGAGCAAGACTCCATCTCAAAAAAAAAAAAAAAAAAGAGAGAGAAAGAAGGAATTAAGGAGGGAGATGAGAGAGAAGAAATGAGGCAGCAGAAACAGGTAATCATTAGACATTAATCAGTCTAATAGTAACCAGAGAAAGGCACATAGAACAAAATGAAAGTTAACATTTTCGAATTAGAAAAACTAACACTGACAACAGACTATTTGGAGGCAGAAATTGAAGATGTCAGATAAGCTATGGGAGAAGAAAGTAGGCTAGTGAATCACACTGTGTACGTCTTCATCTTTCAGTGTCTCATGCAGGTGAAATCAAGGTAATTAGAATATACAGGGTAATCTTGAAAAGGGAGAGAAATGCGCAAAAGGATTTCCGGAAGAGTATGTATTTAGAAGAAGTAGCAGAATCCACCTCTTTGGACTGATTCTATTGAGTTGGGCAGGTGGGGGTGAAAGGGCTATGTCTTATCTCGTATGATTGGAACTGATAATTGTTTGGTTAATTGAAAAAACCAGTTAAAGCAGAGAATCATCCCAGCTACTCAGGAGGCTGAGGCAGGAGAATTGCCTGAACCCAGGAGGCGGAGGTTACGGTGAGCCGAGATCGTGCCATTGCACTCCAGCCTGGGTAACAAGAGCGGAAACTCCATCTCAAAAAAAAAAGCAGAGAATCATAGAATATGATACATACCGTAAACTTTTAAACTTAAATCTGTATTTTCATTACCAACTTTTAAAAAATAAGGGCTAAAGCCTTTTCTTTGGCTATGCATCCCCAGGTTAGCATTCAACTGCAGGTTTCTTATATCCCCATAAACTATGATTTTGCTTTAAGAGGAGTGGGAACAGATATTTGCAAAGCAATCTGCATGTAAAACCTTACTGATTTTTATGATTTCCCCCTGAAACTTTTATAATTGTCTTACTCCAACCTAACTTGATGGTAGTTGTTTTTTTTTTTTTTTTTTTTTTTTGGAGATGGAGTTTTGCTCTTGTTACCCAGGCTGGAGTGCAATGGCACAATCTCTGCTCACCGCAACCTCCGCCTCCTGGGTTCAGGCAATTCTCCTGCCTCAGCCTCCTAAGTAGCTGGGATTACAGGCACGCGCCACCATGCCCAGCTAATTTTTTGTATTTTTAGTAGAGGCAGGGTTTCACCTCATTGAAGCAGGATGGTCTCCATCTCTTGACCTCGAGATCCACCCGCCTCGGCCTCCCAAAGTGCTGGGATTACAGGCTTGAGCCACCGCGCCCGGCTCTGATGGTAGTTATTTTTAAGCATTTACCTTTATTAAGTTTCTCCAAAGTATTCGGTCTAGTTTTATAAGACATATGCATGGACCCTTTTGTTTTTAAGCTCATCGGCTATCGTTAACGTATTTTATGCATGGCTGAAGACAATTCTTCTTCCAGTTTGGCCCAGGGAAGCCAAAAGATTGGATACTTCTTATCTAAATAGTAGTTAAGTATTAATGGTGATATATGAAGAATTGTGAATAAGTCATGAATCTTGGGACAGTGCATATTGGGGAGGGTATGGAAAGAGAAGGGGGAGGGTAGCGAGTACTCCTGATAGCCCACTTCCTCAGTAAAGTTGAACAGATCATTTTAACCTGGTTTTGTTTGCTTTGTCACTTGGGGGTTCTAGGGTCTGTTGGGATGGTATATGGTGAAAAGCGGACTAGAAGAAAAACCAGACGCCCATGACATCCCTCGGGTCAGTCAGTACCGCCTCGCTGCTCACCTGGGATCAGCCCTGGTTCTTTATTGTGCCAGCTTATGGACCTCACTCTCACTGCTACTGCCTCCACACAAGGTGAGTTGTGTGGAAATATCTCTTCAAGACCCTGCTTTCAAATTCTTTTGGATATGTATCTAGAAGTAGAATTACTGGATCACATGGGAGCTGAATATTTTGCCAACATTTTCTACTGGGAAAGGTGAAACACAAATTGAAAAATAGAGTGGGAGGGAATACCAACAACAAGAGATATCCCTGTCACTTTACCTTCGACTCCCAGAAGGGATGGTAGATGGCAAGGTGAGGAAGATCAGAACAGAGGTGTTTCTGAATTTCTGGGGTGTATAAGAGCCATATTGTATTGTTCATTAAACAGGGACCTACCACTTAAGTCTAATAATATAGGAAACCTTAGTGATTTTGTCTGAAGTATTTTTCTGTATGCTGATTAAAGGAGAATGCTAGTTTTTCATTTTATGCTTTGATTTAAAAGCAAGGTATAACATTTTTTTGAGACCTTCATTAATAATAGAGGTCTCAAGACACTGCACCCTTATAGGACATTTTTTTTCCCCGAGAATTGTTTTTAACATGAGTCTTGGTTGGGTGCAATGGCCCATGCCTGTAATCCCAGCACTTTGGGAGGCCGAGGCAGGCAGATCACCTGAGGTTGGGAGTTCAAGACCAACCTGAGCAACATGGAGAAACCCCATCTCTACTAAAAATACAAAACTAGCTGGGCATGGTGGCGCATACCTGTAATCCCAGCTACTTGGGAGACTGAGGCAAGAGAATCACTTGAACCTGGGAGGTGGAAGTTGTGAGCCGGATTGCACCATTGCACTCCAGCCTGGGGAACAAGAGTGAAATTCTGTCTCAAAAAAAAAAAAAAAAAAAGAGTCTTATATTAGGTATTGAAATCATGGGTTGACCTGAGTAAGCTGTTCCTGGAGAAAAGTTTGAGATGACAGCAGGACTTTTGAGCTGAATTATCTGTTAGGTACTTGGAACAAGCAGCTTGATCCCGATAAGGACTGAAGATGTTGTCTGGGCAGTCATTCCCACAGACAAGCCAATTGGGTTGAAATATCGATGTACTAGAAAACCACGTCTGAATAATTCCTGTTCTCCTGACTTTTAAAGCCAGACTTCTTTTGTTTTTGTTGTTTGTTTGTTTGTTCCAGTTCGCTCTGTTGCCCGGGCTGGAATGCAGTGGCGTGATCTTGGCTCGCTGCTACCTCTGCCTCCCGGGTTCAAGCACTTCTCCTGCTTCAGCCTCCCAAGTAGCTGGGACTACAGGCACAAGCCATCATGCCCAGCTAATTTTTTTGTATTTTTAGTAGAGATGGGGTTTTGCCATGTTGGCCAGGCTGCTCTCGAACTCCTGACCTCAGGTGATCCACCTGCCTCTGCCTCTGCCTCCCCAAAGTGCTGGGATTACAGGTGTGAGCCACCACACCAGTCAAAGCCAAACTTCTAAAATGAATTGCCTGCATATATAGCTGCTGCCTCCTGACAACCTATTCCTTCTTTTCAATCCCTGTAATTATCTTCCCCACCCTACCCAATACATACACAGTCACACATTTACCCACAGTCACACATAAACCCACATACTCTCACTGCTGAAATTGTACTCTTAAAGGTTACTGATAACTTTATCAATTAATTGTTTTTCTCTGTATATTTAGATTCACCTAATTACAAAAAGGATTTGAGATGCTAGCCAATGAGCCATATAGTGCAGTGCTGTCCAACACATTAGCTACTAGCTACATATGGCTATTTAAATTTTAATTAATTAAGGCTGGGCACGGTGGCTCATGCCTGTAATCCCAGCATTTTAGGAGGCTGAGGTGGATGGATCATTTGAGGTCAGGAGTTCGAGATCAGTCTGGCCAACATGTTAAAACCCCATCTCTACTAAAAATTAAATAATTAGCCAGGCAATAGTGGCACACGCCTGTAATCCTAGCTACTTGGGAGGCTGAGTCAGGAGAATCACTTGAATGTGGGAGTTGGAGGTTGCAGTGAGCCAAGATTACACCACTGCACTTCAGTCTGGGTGACAGAATGAGGAAGAAAAAAAATTTTTTTTAATTAATTTAATAAAATTAACTTTATTTAAGTAAACTTTTTTTTACTTAACCTTTAAATTAATTTTTTATTTAATTTTCAGTCATACTAGCCAGGTTTCAAGCTCTTCTTAGGTAGATGATAGTCCTTTTCCATCACAGCAAGTTCTATGATATGTTAGCAATGATATCTAACTTTTCATATAGTAGATTGTAAGCTATTTGAGGGTAGCATTCTGACATAACTCCTTTGTATCTTTATAGTCACCTTTTTATAAAGCTCTTAATAAATATTTGATGATTCATTGATTAGTATTAGAAGTTGGCTGTAGTAAGAATAAAAACAAATTTTGATTTTATCAAAAACACTAAACACAGAAATCTCTAAGCATTTTATGCAATTTTGATTCTGACTGTATTTGCTAAACACTGATATGACACACATGAAAAATCCAGTCCTGATCTTAAGCTATATCCTTTTAGCTGTGATGAAGCATTTTTTCCTGAATAATGTAAATCATTCAGTTTTTGAACAGATATGTAATGAGTACCTATGCGCCAATCACTAAGCTAAGATTGCTGTTGTAAGAAAGATGGCAGTTCCTGCCTTCACAAAACTTAACGGGGTATCAGGGAAAACAGATAGTAACATATAATTATAATAAAGTCCAGCGCACGTTGGAACAGAATATCTGCTGGGAATACTAAACCTAGTCTAGGAGTCAGAGAAGATCTGATCCTAATTTGTCACTTGGGTTTGGCATTGGAGATCTTTGCTGCCTCTCATTGTTCCTGCAACACAGTTTAACTGATTTTTTTTTCTTATTTAGTTGCCTGAAACCCGTCAGCTCCTACGGTTGAGACGATTTGCTCATGGAACAGCAGGTCTGGTGTTCCTTACAGCTCTCTCAGGTAGGACTCAGCTCATCGGAAATGACCTGTTAGCATTGTACTCAAAGGTGGGACCTCTTGCCTGATGCTTTGCCCCTTCCTTCTGCATCTTTATATTTCCTTTTCACATCTGCTTCTCACATTCCCACCATCTTCACCCTGTTTCCTGTTCCTTTCTCTCTTCCAAAAATTCTACATTCCTGTCAATTGAACAAAAATTTTGAACATGTACCTAGATCCAGACTGCCTAGGTTCAAATCCTAGCTTCGCCACCTGTGAACTGTATGACCTTTGCAAGCTCTGTAACCTCTCTTGGGACTTTGAGACCTTATCTGTAAAATGGAGATTATGACAACAGTATGAGTAGTAAATGTGAAATGTGTAGAACAGTACCTGGTATGAAGCAAAGGCTATATAAGTGTTAGCTGTTACTATTATATAAACATTATTGTTATCACATTACATCAAGATGGGTCAGACAAAAGACTTGCCCTCACAGATGGTTACAGGTGGAGAGTTCATTGGCACAGAGAGACCAACATAGGATTTTTTTCATTCTTTTTTTTTTGAGACCGAGTCTTACTCGGTTGCTCAGGCTGGAGTGCAGTGGCATGATCTCAGCTTACTGCAACCTCTGCCTCCTGGGTCCAAGCGATTCTTGTGCCTCAGCCTCCCAAGTAGCTGGGACTACAGGTGCACAACACCACGCCCAGCTAATTTTTATATTTTTAGTAGAGACGGGGTTTCACCACTTTGGCCAGGCTGGTCTGGAACTCCTGACCTCAAGTGATCTACCCACCTCGGCCTCCCAAAGTGCTGGGATTGTAGGCATAAGCCAGAAGCCCAGCCTTTTTCATTCTTTAAACCACAGCACCTCTGCTGCTCTCATTCTAGAACTGCACTATCTAGTGGAGGAATCTGTAGCCTCGTATGGATATTTAAACTTATTAATTTAAGGTTAAATAAAATTTAGTTCTTCAGTCACACTGGCCACATTTCAGATGCTCCATAGGCACATGTGGCTAGTGGCTAGTATATTGGACGACACAAATACAGAACACTTCCACTCTCACAGAAAGTTCTATTGACAGCACTGCTCTGGAATAAAAATAATATTGATTCAAACCAATGAGCTACTCAACACTTTTATTTTTGGTATAAGAGCATGAATTTTTACTTCATAAGAGGTATTTAAAAATATGGAGTGGGTTGGGTATGGTGACTTACATCTGTGATTCCAGCACTTTGGGATGCTGAGGCAGGTGGATTGCTTGAGCCAGGGAGTTCAAGACCAGCCTGAGCAAAATGGTGAAACCTCGTCTCTACAAAAAATACAAAAATTAACCAGGTGTGATGTTGTACACCTGTAGTCCCTGCGACTCAGGGGCTAAGGCGGGAAGATTGCTTGAGCCCAGGAGGTCAGGGCTGCAGTGAACTGAGATTATGCCGCTGCACTCCAGCCTGGGTGACAGAGCAAGACTCTGACTCAAAAACAGGAAAAAAAAAAAAAAAAAAAAAAAAAGGGAGGGTGACCCAAACATTTCTGGATTTTCTTTGATAATAAATAATGGATCAGTCATCCATTCATTCATGAATACCCTCTTTATTTGTTTATCCAGGATTTCATTTATAAGTTTTGGGATTTTTCTAACTTCTATGTTCAGTCAAAAAACATTTATTGAGCATTTGGGGAAGACAGATAATGCACAATAGAAACATAATGTGTTAGATGTCATGAAGAACAATAAATTAGGGTTAGGAGAGAGAAAATGGGCTAGGGGAGTGCCATTTTACATGGGATCATCAAGTGAAATCTCTTTGATAAGGACATCTGAGTGGAAGCTGAGGAAGTAAGGGAGTCATCTCCCTTACTTCCAAGATGTAGACAAGATGTCCAAGATGTAGACATCTGTGGGAGAGCATTTCTAAAATAAATCAGTAGCATTCAGTCGGGGGTGAGGAGGGCATCAAAATCACTAAGGGAATTTTTCTAAGCTAATAAGCCTCTCCTCCTCCTGCTACACCAGAGCCTCTACTCCACTTCTCTAGAGGAAGCAGAATCTTGGGGTGGGAGCAGGTAAGGATGCAGAGATTTGAAGTTTCTATGGTGATTGAGATGGATCTTCCCTGTTGGAGAACTCCTGTTGTAGATCTTTCTATTATTCTCTGATTATTCCCTTAGTTTAACTCTGGGATAACAGAACTTTTCTATGTCAGAACTAATATCTGGTCTCTTCTTCCTCTCATTTTAATAAATACCACTTACCTTGGAATGCAGGGGCTTTTGTGGCAGGGCTAGATGCTGGGCTTGTTTACAACTCCTTTCCCAAAATGGGAGAATCCTGGATCCCGGAGGACCTCTTTACCTTCTCCCCCATCCTGAGGAATGTTTTTGAGAATCCCACCATGGTGCAGTTTGATCACCGGATTCTGGTAAGTGTAGCTGGTGGTTACCTGCCAGAGAGCACAGGAGCCTATCATAGGCTTTGGGGTGTCATCGGTGAAGCACTGATGGCAACAGTGACAGGGTAGAGCAGGACCTATATTTCCTGCTCTCTTTGGAAGAAATTTTGGGACTAGTTCTCCGATGTAATGTTTTTGTCCTCATTACTCACCCCTGTCCCTCAGCACCCACCCCAGCCAAATTCTAGCTTTCAGGGCATTACCAGCTTCTTAAAGTTCAAATATGCCTTTTACCACTTGGCAAGTGATAACCTCCCTCAATCCTGCACATACCTAGAAAGTCATTTCAGCAGAAATGAGGTTGAGTAGAGAGAAGAATGTGGAGACCATAGTTGCTGAGCACATAGCTATTGCAGCTAAACCAGAACCTCAAGGAGCCAGGAGCCAGGAGCTTCACCAGTACTTTTTATTCTATTTAAGCTAATATGTAGTGAGGGTCTGCTATGGGCCATGTAAAGATTGGCTTGGAGGACTGGGTGTGATGAATTGGAGTGGGGAAAGATCAGCAGTAAGGAGACTGTGAAAAGCATAGTGCCACTGCACAGTGCCGAGGAGGGTGAGAGATATGGGGGCTACATGGTGGGAATGGAACTTGAGAAGAATGATACATCTGAGAGAGAATTTAAAGGAACACAGAGCCTGGGCACAGTGGCTCACACCTGTAATACCAGCACTTTTGGAGGCTGAAGTGAAAAGATTGCTTGAGCCCAGGAGCTTGAGGCTGCAGTGAGCTGTGATCACATTACTGTACTGTAGCCTGGGAGACAGAGTGAGATCCTGTCTCTTAAAAAGTTAAATTTAAAAATAAGAAGAGAGAGAGAGAGAGAGAGAGAGGAGTGAGTTAATAGATTGGCTGTCTGCAGCATGCTTAAAACATGACCAACAGGAATGGGACCATCGAAATGAGTGTGAAGCTAGAGGTGGGAGGATGTCATCAGATGGAGGCATGTTGAGTGTGAGATGAAAGAGAGTACATACAGAGAGAGAGGGCCAGAGGATTCAGCTGTGCAACAGGGACTGGGCAGAGGCACCATTACCTGCTGTGGACTGAGTCCCCACCTGCACACAGTTTTTGGCATAAGCAAGCCTGATTGAAATTGTCAGTGTGGAAAGCTCTGAAAAGGAAACAAAGTGAAATAAATGTAGACATATGATAGAAAACATTCTCCCTGATATCGTGGGAGAGGAAGGGGACCTTATTGCCAGTCCTGGACCTTTGTTCTGAAGGGATAGGAATGAAAATGAGATATTAGGTCATTTTTAGCACCAGCAGGTGGCACCACCACTTTCTCCACTCCTAGCCCAGGAAGATAACCCTCATCTGCTGGGGTCAGCCCTGCTTTAAGAATATAGAATTAGAGCTACAGTTAGGGATAAGCATGCAAAGAATGACTTACATATGAGGGGAACACCCACATTGGAAGGTGGATGAGATCACTGGGAGTGAGGGTATATAAAGAGGTACATACAGAAACTTAGGTGGAGCCCTGGGTCACACCAACATTTAAGTGGCAAGCAGAAGAGGACAGTGGAAGAGACAGTCTGCAGTGGAGGAATCAGGGTGGAACTGCAGGGATCTTCTCTGTGACTGGTACAGGACGGTACTTCTTGGTTGCTGAGTGGTTTCTAGAGGAGATACATGTAAGGTGAATAGAAACCTGGCACTTCTTTCTAATGTGTTAGAATCTTTCTTCCTGCAGGGAATCACTTCAGTCACTGCCATTACAGTGCTGTACTTCTTTTCCCGGAGAATTCCCCTTCCTAGAAGGACCAAGATGGCAGCAATGACTCTGCTGGCTTTGGCGTATACACAGGTATAAACCACTTCTTTTTGGTCTGACAGTATCCCCAGTACAAAGTTAAAAAGAGGCTGGGCACAATGGCTCATGCCTGTAATCCCAGCACTTTGGGAGGCTTAGGTGGGCAGATCACTGGAGCCAGGAATTTGAGACCAGCCTGGGCAACATGACAAAACCCTGTCTCTACCAAAAATACAAAAGTTAGATGGGTATGTGGGTGTGTGCCTGTAGTCCAAACTACTTGGGAGGCTGAGGTGGGAGGATCACCCAAGCCAGGGAGGTTGAGGTTACAGTGAGCCAAGATCACACTACTGCACCCCAGCCTGGGCAACAGAGTGAGATCCTGTCTGTTAAAAACAAAGAAAGAAAGAGAAAGAAAGAAAGAAAGAAAGAGAGAGAGAGAGAGAGGAGAGAGGGAGGGAGGGAGGGAGGGAGGAAGGAAAGAAAGAAAGAAGAAAGAAAAGGTGACAGACTAGGAGAAAATATTTTCCATACTTACAATAAATTAAAAGATTAGGCCAGGTGCGATGGCTTACGGCTATAATCCCACCACTTTGGGAGGCCCAAGTGGGTAGATCACAAAATCAGGAATTTGAGACCCACCTGCCCAATATGGTGAAACCCCGTCTCTACTAAAAATACAAAAATTAGCTGGGTGTGGTGGTGTGTACCTGTAGTCCCGCTACTCAGGAGGCTGAGGCAGAAGAATTGCTTGAACCCGAGAGGCAGAGGTTGCAGTGAGTCAATATCGTGCCGCTGCACTCCAGCCTGGGCAACAGACTGAGACTCTGTCTCAAAAAACAAAAAAGATTAATAACCAGAAAATAAGTAAAGGACATCAGTACACAATTACCACAAAAAGAATGATGAATGGCCAGTAAACATGAAAAGCTGTTCAGTTTCACTGATAATCAGAGAGGAGCATATTTTTAAAAATGAGTACCATTTTGTTCCTGTCAAATTGGAAAAAAATGATAATTAGGTATTGCCATGGGCATAGGAAAATGGATACTTTCAAATATTCTTGGTGACAGCATGTGTTGGTACAGTGTTTTTCAGAGAGGAATTTGGCAAGATCTTTTAAAAGTTAAATGGATAATCCTTTGGCCCAGCAAATGGACTTATTAGTGTCTGTCCTAGAAACAGTCTAATTCACAAAGATCTTTTGTATGAGGAAATTCATCATAGAATTGTGATAGTGAAAAATTGGAAACAACTTAGTTAAACAACTATAGTATATCCATACTGTGGAATATACTGTACAGCAGTTTAAATAATAAGATCTCTAGTTCTTAGAACAAAAAAAGGAAAAGAAAAGAAAAAAAAAGATCTCAAAACATACTGTATATTGTTAAGTGGAAAAAAAAACAAGTGACACAGAACAATGTGTTTTTTCAAAAGCACAAAACTATGTATGTCTCTGTGAACATATTGAAGTATAAGTATAAAACTTGTAACAGTTGACTATTTTGGGGAATTGGGATGGAATGAAGGATAATTAAGGGGAATTTTAGGTTTATCAATTTTGTTCAAATTTCTTTCATTGTAGCATATTTGCTTGTGAAATTAAAAATGTGTATATTTTCACTGCCCTGATGGGAGGATGAGGAGGTTGGTGTGGTTATCGGAGCCTGGTGATTTTCAGTGTGAACTTTTGGCTACTGCCTTTCCTATTGCCTTCTTTCCTTTGTGACAGGTGGGCTTGGGCATTAGCACACTGCTGATGTACGTCCCGACTCCTCTGGCTGCCACTCACCAGTCAGGATCCTTGGCTTTGCTCACTGGTGCTCTTTGGCTGATGAATGAACTCCGAAGAGTCCCAAAATGATTCTCAGAGGACCAGCTTCCTGGGACTGTAACTGTGCTTTTGAGAACTCATCAGAGAGCATAAGAACTGGGGCTTTTGTATGAGATGACCTTGACATACCAAGTGGTTTCCAAATGGTCAACTTATTTTAAAATCTTTTCCTATTTTGAGATCGTCACTGGATCAAGAATGCATTAAGTATGGTTATCCTAAAGGTTCCTTTTTAAATCTGCTTTTCATGTTGAAAATCGGTTTTAATGTAGAGAGAAATGTCTGCCATTTGCTGTTTAACAGGTTTTGTGTCAGGTTTTCAGTGTTGGCAAGCTCTTGGTTCTACATGGATAATTTCTATCTCCTTGTTCTCCTGAGTCCTTAATTCTGCCTAAATAGAATTTCTTTATGATCTTAACTTCACTTAGGTGAAGATTGAAAGGATAGGATTAGCATACCCCAAAGTAGCCAGTGATCTTCAGCAAAAAAATAGGTAATGTCTTCTAATATCCTGATTTTCAAAAATGGAGAAGTTACAGACTTTGAGAAGCTTAATGTATATATGTAGCAAAATGGTTTGTAAGTACTTGGAAAAGGAGGTAATCACCAAAACCCACTTGGATTTCTCAAGCACTAACCTAGTTCCTCTTCTTTTTTTTTTTAGATGGAGTCTTGCACTGTTGCCTGGGCTGGAGTGCAGTGGCGCAATCTTGGCTCACTGCAACCTCTGCCTTCAGGGTTCAAGCAATTCTCCTGCATTAGCCTCCCAAGTAGCTGGGATTACAGGCACCCACCACCAAGCCCAGCTAGTTTTTTGTATTTTTAGTAGAGATGGGGTTTCACTATATTGGCCAGGCTAGTCTCAAACTCCTGACCTTGTGATCTGCCCTTGGCCTCCCAAAGTGCTGGGATATGGATGTGAGCCTCCATGCCCAGCCTAGTTCTTCTTCTTCTTCTTCTTCTTTTTTTTTTTTTTTTTTGAGACAGAGTTTTGTTCTTGTTGCCCAGGCTGGAGTGCAGTGACTTGATCTCAGCTCATTGCAACTTCTGCCTCCCAGGTTCAAGTGATTCTCATGCCTCAGCCTCCCAAGTAGCTGGGACCACAGGCACAAACCAAGCCTAGCTAATTTTATATTTTTAGTAGAGAAGGGATTTCATCATGTTGGCCAGGGTGGTCTCGAACTTCTGACCTCAAGTGATCCACCTGCCTCAGCCACCTCAGCCTCCCAAAGTGCTGAGATTACAGGTGTGAGCCACTGCGCCTGGCTAGTTCCTCTTTTGATAAGGCTGTTAACATTACTAAGTCAGGCCGGGCGTGGTGGCTTACAAGCACTTTGGAGGCCAAGGCGGGTGGTCACCTGAGGTCAGGAGTTCAAGAACAACCTGACCAACATGGTGAAACTCCGTCTTATTAAAAAAAAGACAAAAAAAAAAAAATAGCAGTATAAGTCAGAGGAATGCAATCAGTATGAATTGGTTCCGGAGAGGGTTTCCTAACAGCCTTGTAATAAGAAAGAGATGGCTTTGATGGTGTAGTACGTGGACATCTATCCAGATATTTAAACAAATTGTTGACTGCTGAATTAGTGTGATTTTGGTCTCTATTGATATTTTATAAGGCTCTGTCTTATTCAACTTTATTTTTTAAATCAGTGATTTGGATGAAGGCATTGGAAATATGTGATTTGAGGATGGAGCAACCCAATGTTGCTAATATAATAGATGACAGTGGCAACTGAAAACAGTCCCAGAGTGACCCCATCAAAATGAAATTAAACAGATTAGAAATGTAACATTCATTTAAATTAAATAAGTTGTGTAAGTTTGGGCTTTATATCATTTCATATAAGAAAGACTTGGGGATTTCAGTTGGTTTCAGATTCAAAATGAACCAGCTAGAATTCATGTTATTATTATATGGAAACAGAAAAATTAGTGGTACTTCAGGTTTTCTCAGTAGACGTGTCACAGCCATAGCCAGAATACCCCTAACATGTTGCATTTCACCATGATGGTCACTAAGTGTATATCCAGAAGAAGAGACCAGGATGGTGAGGAGTCCAGAACCCCTATCACACAGGGAGTAGTTGAAGGAACTAGGGATATTTAACTGGAGAAGAGAACATTTGGGGAGAGAGCAAGATTCCTTTCCTTAGAAGTTGAAGCCCTCTCATGCAGAAGAGGGAATGAGCTTCCATTGTGCTGCAGAGCTGGGAGCAATGGGTGAAAGTTGCAGGAAGTTAGTTTTAGTTCTGTAGAAGGCAAGAGTAGGTAGACCAAATCAAATGACCGCTGGGGTCCGGCTAGTGGAGACTGTAACACTGGCGAGCAGGTGCGCCAGTTCAAGCTAAACTACTGCTGAGTTCTGGTCTGTTGCTGCCACTCTACAGGTCCAGGGTTGTTAGATCTTCTGGGTTTTTGTTTTGCTTTTTGAAATAAGGAAAATAAGTTTATCTTTAGTTATCCTTGGATATACTTCTATTCCATACAGTAACAATACAAATACAAAGTGAAAACAAACATCTGGATTTCATCCTTGACCTCATTTACAAAGCAAAAAGAGATGCTGGATTCAGATATAAATGTTTAATTTTACAGCATTTAAGTCACCAAATCTGTTTTTTTTTTTTTAAAGATTTAAAAAATCTAGATTTTTATGTGAAAGCTCTCAATTAAGTATTGGGAACTAATTTCAAGATTTTTAAAAATGTTATACAGGCTCAACATGTCTGTGAGCCATAAATGATCTATGACCTAACATTTCCCATTTTTAATTTCTGAACTAGGTGATCTCATTTTTTTCAACTCGAGTACTCCGTAAGTTTGTGTGACCTGTAGTGTGCCATTCTCAGGTGGTGATGTGGTTTGGATGTTTTGTCCCCTCCAAATCTCATGTTCAAAATGTGACATTCAGTGTTAGAGGTGGGCCTAGTGGGAGGTGTTTGGGTCCTGGGGGTGGATCCCTTATGCATGACTTTGTGCCATCCCCATAGTAATGAGTGAGTTCTCACTCTGGTAGTTTATGCAAGAGCTGGTTGTTTAAAAGAACTTGGAACTGGGCCAGGCGCAGTGGCTCACGCCTGTAATCCCAGCACTTTGGGAGGCCAAGGCAGGCAGATCATGAGATCAGGAGATTGAGACCATCCCGGCTAACATGGTGAAACCCTATCTCTCCTAAAAATATAAAAAATTAGCTGGGCGTGGTGGTGCATGCCTGTAGTCCCAGCTACTTGGGAGGTTGAAGCAGGAGAATCACTTGAACCCAGGAGGTGGAGGTTGCAGGGAGCCAAGATCACATCACTGCACCCCAGCTTGGGCAATAGAGCAAGACTTTGTCTCAAAACAAAAAAAGCCTAGAACTTCCTCCTCTCTCTCTTGCTCTCTCACCATGTGACACACTGGCTCCCCTTCACCTTCCACCATGATTGTAAACTTCCTGAAGCCCTCACCAGAAGTAGATGCCAGCACCATGCCGCCTGTACAGTTCTATGCAGAACTGTGAGCCAAATAAACCTCTTTACTTTATAAAAATTCTCAGGTATTTCTTTATAGCAATGCAAGCAGACTAACACAGGTGATTCTTAGCAAAACAGTTTGTCAATTTTTCATAAATCCTAGACCCTGATGGGCTTATGCTATTGCCTAGAAGAGATTCCCAACTTCTCTCTTATTTGAATGTCAGAAAAATCCCAAAACCCAAGCCTCATCTAAGACCAATGAACTCACAATCTCTGGAGGTAATAAAAGGCATATTTTAAAAGTTCCCCAGGTATCCAATGTGCAGACAAGTCTAGGGACCACTGGCTTAGGTCCTAATAGACTAGTTACCTTAGAAAGTTCTGACTAGCTTATGCCCATTCCCTTCTAATTTCCACCCCACCCTATCATTTGATCTGCTATATTGATCCTGTTAGTATGTTAGTAGGATATGGTCTCTTCTGGATAGACTCCTTTAGAGAAAGGGAACTTTAGTTCCTGAGGCAGGTTCCCACACCATCCTCTCCTGATCCTCAAACCCAGGTTGTCCTTAGTTAATAAGTGAGTCAGCAGAGGGCAGTGTGACCCAACCCAAAGAACCATTTATTTATTAATGCTTCTACAGTTCCCTCCAAGGAAGTAGCAACTGGTGAATAAAGTTTCAGATGTTTTACTTCATTTTTCTTTATTACAGATGATGCGTACATTTGGAAAAACAACTGGTTGCATTTATTTATTTATATAACTGTATTATGCCACCTATGAGCTCCCAGTGAATGATTATCTTATTTTTTATATTTATTATTCCCAGCACTGCCAGACACATCTCAAACATTGAATGAGTTAATGCATGAATGGAAAATGGACAATTACAGATTGATGTTTGATGTCCCAAATATCTTTTTCCCAAAAAGTCATTATATACCTATAGGATTAAATGAATTTCCCTTAGTATTTTCAAAAGTTTATCTACGCTTCTGTCCATTGTTTTTAAAACATGAAGGAAATTAAAACACATGGCTTTCTAAATCAGTCAACTTAGAATATTTTGTCTGTAACTTAGACTGACAAATACTATCTCTTGTAGCAGGGGTAATGGTTAGCAACTCCCTAAAGCAATGTTGGTTGCAGAGAACAACACTGATGATCATTTTTAGGATAACCAGTTTATCTATAGCCACACTTGTGGTCCTGGGATGAATGGTGGGTTATATATCAGCATATGTAACACATATACCCATGTCCCTGCATAAGGGAGAATGCATCACCTCTCTATTGCACATTTTCCTCAACACTGACTTATGTTTTGTCAGTGAGAATGTTAAGAATGCAAAATTATTGTTTAATGTGAAGCAGTAAAAAAACATAGTCGTAACAGCTCTCCAAAGCAATGTAATAAAGGCAGCCTTTGGTTTTTTTAAAGTGTGGTGTGTCTAGTTGTGGATCATAATCAAAAGATGTCTTTCACCACACCCCACAGAGGCTATTGATCAAGGTAGAAATAATGGGGAAGACACGGCCTGTACTTCAGGGCTTCAACTAAAAGGGAATTGTAGAATGAGAACTTCAAATACAACACAGTAACAGAATACTAGAAACCAAAGTGTGTGTCTGGGATTCCTGCTTGTAGAAAGACACTTATGAAGCTAATTCGGGGCAGTCTTCACCAGCAGCAGCCAAATGCTGGCAAGTGCTCTGTAGGAGGGGCCACTTAGGAAAGTACCAGAACTTCCTTGGAGTGGAGAAGGAGGAGTGGGCCACTAGAGGGTATACCAGTGGCTGCCCTACTTTAAAAGGGAGGATCAGGAGCCAACTAACATACATATCTTTATGCTAACATGAAGTCATGTATGTGTGGCTATACATAGCCGGTGATTTAGAAAAATTTTTCAACTTTGGTTTTCATAAAAATGGCAAGAAATGATGGATTACATCTCAAAAGTGAAAGCCCTTGTAGTATTAGTAATGATTCAGTTTTATTAAAAGGATCTCCTATTGCTCAGATTTCCAGAGAAACAAAATGGTCAACTAGTGTGTTATTCCTTTCCTGTCCCTCTAATAATAGTACCGACAAACTGGAAAATAATGAAATATTAGAGCAAAAGAGAAATGTGTAATAACACGAGAAGTCTATTAGGATATAAGTAAGTGGACAGAGCAGGCTTAAAATGAAGCTTAAACAAGCCATCTGCAGAAACAGAAAACAGGGTAGATGGGACACACAAACAAGGTGCCACAGCTTTTCAACTTAGATCCATGTTATGAGAGAGAGCAGGCGAAGAACACAACCTATTAAGTGTTCGATTTGAGGTATATTCAGTTTGCTATTTTATAGTATTAATCAAAATATTGACTAACAATCCTATTATTATTAATCAAAACTTTTGGTCTTGAGTCTTAGTTTTTTTAACAGTAATATTTTTTGTAACACCAACAAAATCCTCACAAGTTTGACAGAGCATATTGCCTCAGGGGCTGCACTCTGGAGCTAGTGTTCCTAAGAGACTAAAATGGAAGAATTTGAAACATCTGCTACTTCTACCATAATTCTTATTCCCAATCAACATTTACATCACATACCACAGCGAAAAGGACAACTAGATACTAGTTTTGAATTAATTTGAAATGTTTAAAGACAACAAAAAGAAACAGCCCTCTGTTCCTGTAACAGTCTGGAAACTGTCCAAGAATTAACAACGAAGTTCTTTAACGAGGTAGATGTAATAGGCATTTATACCTTCATCTAGGCTGTAGTCATCTAATTAATTGCTTGGATGCTTTGGTAAAGAAAATTGTGTAAAATTAATTGTTTTAAAAAGATGTATGAAATTTAAAAGTACTAAAATACAGAAACTAGAATAGATGTAGTGAAAACTTGGCACTATTTCAAACAAAGCATTTTTTTCAGAGTTTATTCCTAAATGCGAGCAAAGCAGTCATAAATGAATGTCAGAAGCAGTTCTAAAGATTGGGCATGGTTAGTTGTGGCCAGCTGTTTTATAAAGAATAGATTCTGTTTACATATACTTGCAGAACGATTCTTTCAATGAGCATTCACTGTAGCTGACAAAGTAGTTGGGGTGTCTGTGTTACAGAGAAACCTGGGGCCTAGGAGGCCAGTCACTGTGACTTTACACATATTACAACTGCTCTGGGCCTCAGTTTCATCATCCATACAAATCAAGGGGGTTGGCCAGAAGACCTTTAAAATCCCAGCTTTAAAACTCTTCTGAAATTTATTATGATTGGTATTAGAAACTCCATTTCTACCAACCTTATCAGGGGTTATGGATAAAATAGGAGGCTCTTTTGGGCAGCCTGGTCTTCTAAACCAAAGGACAAAATGCTCTTCCCAAATCCATATGACTTTTCTACCTTGTCTTCTGCCTTTAGTTTCTAATCTTGTCTAGCCACCTTGTTGTATAGATGAGAACCAAACCAGAGATGGTAAGTGACTTGCATGGGGTACCAGAGCTAGTAAATGACAAAGCTAGAACCCATTCATTAAGCCTACTTACTGTTCTTTCCCTTAAGTGATACCACTCACTTGTCTTCCATCCCTGACAAAAAGCAAAACACAAAACTGCGAGAAGCATCTGTGTAGATGATACCAGTGAGAAGTGTTAAATTATTTTATTTCAAAAATGTAAATATGGATGTGATAATAAATGTTAATGCCTAAAAAGACTAGCTTAGCAAGTGCATGGCAGGCATTTAGTCAGCCACGTTTCAGCAATCGCTGGCCAAGATCTTAAAGTTAAAGGAATCTATTAGGATGAGGAGGGGGTGGGGCAGGATACTTTGGAAGTTATTGGGAGAATAAATAGAAGATTGGTGGAGAGCGATGAAAATTTCCTAGACCAGAAGAGATACTGGACTACTAGAGCAGAGAGGGAGAGAGGAGAGCACGGGTTGAAAAACTTATCTATTAGGTACTATGCTCACCACCGGGTGATGGGATCTGTATACCCCAAACCTCAACATCACTCAATATACTCATATAACAAACCTGCACTTGTACCCCCTGAATCTAAAATAAGTTGAAATTATTTATAAAAAACAAAAACAACAATCTCAACAAAATTTCCCAGGCCAAGGAAATTCAAGGAACTAAAGTACTGAGAAGAAAAAATGGCTTGGAATATAATTTGGCTTAGAGTTAACTGCAACTTAAGTGAATGAAATGCTACATAAATGGATATTTTACATATATTCATTATGTTCTAGTAACAAGAATTTGGGGAAAGTGATGGATTATGCTAAAAAGCATCACTACAAGCCACTGACTCCTGCTTTGACATCTGTGGCCTGTCTCAGTAATAACAAGCCTACTAAAACAGTTCAGGTTCATTGCTTCTGTTAACAAGAGTGGTTGGTAAGATTCAAAGGACCAGTGGAATGTGAATTTTATGACACCATAATTATCTTCACTGGGAGAATCACCAAAGTGCAAAAATGCAAATAGAAATCTTTAAAAACCAAAGGGTAAGGCAAGATCGATTTCTGCTCCTCTAAGCTATTTTATTATAAGGAAGCAATATATTTAAGTAATTGGCCCTTAGCAAGGAATAAGTGGTTTTTGTTTCTAGCTAATGAGATTTCATTTAAAATCTATTAATTGGGAGAAGAGAAGCAGCATAGGAGCCAATACCAACAGTAAATATTCAGTTCTTCTGAGGGATGATAAAATTTTCCTTCAGTATTGTGGAACTCCTGGAAGCCTTGCTCATGGTAATAAAGACAAGCCTAGATCCCATAATATTAAAGTAATGAACCGGATATAACACATTAAATACTGCAAAATAAAATAAGAAATATGTATATATTGAAAAAGTGATAAATCTAGATATCCTGAGATTCTCAACTATAAAAAGAACAGAGTAATATCAGTTTGAAAGGTTGTTGTAATGACTAAATAATACACATAAAATCCTTAACAGTGTTTGGTACATAACAAAGGCTTAACAAATAATGGTTATTATTACAGCCAGGATGAAGAATACTAATAAGAGCTTTCAAATTGGGCCAATTCCTTACTTCCCTGTTTCAACTTCATTTTTAGCATATGAATATGATCACCGTTAGCCAGTCAAGTAGTTTCCGACTAGATCATTGATTAGCTCTAACAAGAAAACCAAAGATAGTATTTGGAAACCAAGATGAGGGCAAAAGAAAAATGTTAACTGAGTAGGCAATAGCTAGCTAAAACATATTTTGACATTTTTTGTTGTTGTGGAGTCTCACTCTGTCACCCAGGCTGGAGTGCAGTGGCATGATCTCAGCTCACTGCAACCTCCGCCTCATGGGTTCAGGCGATTCTTCTGCCTCAGCCTCCTGAGTAGCTGGGACTACAGGCGGGTGCTTCCACGCCCAGCTAATGCTAATTTTTAAATATTTTTAGTAGAGACGGGGTTTCACCATTTTGGCCAGGCTGGTCTTGAACTCCTCCTGACCTCGTGAGCCACCTGCCTTGGCCTCCCAAAGTCACCATGGCTGGCCTTGACATTATTTTTAAGCAGCATTCATAAGGTTCATGGAGCACCGGTACTAAAAGAAAATCAAAGCAGTGTAGAAGTCCTAAAAACCAAAGGAAATTGCTATGAAAGAAGCCCTAATAAAAGGTAATATATTTCCAAAGAAACAGAGGCCAGGTGCAGTAGCTCATTCCTATAATCCCAGCACTTTGGGAGGCCAACGTGGGAGGATTGCTTGAGCCCAGGTGTTTGAGACCAGCATAGTGAGGCTCCATCTCCAAAAAAATAAAAGATTAGCTGAGTGTGGTGGTGCATACCTGTAGTCCTAGCTGCTTGGGAGTCTGAGGTGGGAGGATTGCTTGAGCCCAGGAGGTTGAGGCTACAGTGAGCCATGATATTGCACCACTGCACTCCAGCCTGGGCGACAGCATGAGGCCCTGCCAACAAGGAAAAAAAAAAAAGGGAACAGAGTCCGTATGTTTAGTCCATGCTTATCTCATTTTAAAACAATACAAGACTGGGCATCTTTTTATCTACCAACCAAGGGTCAGTATACTTATTTTTATCTTAGTTTATTTCTAGGAAGATCTTAATTTCTTTTTCTCTGTTTTATAAGGCATTTGATTCCTTTCTGTTCCCAGTGTAAAATTTATGTTTGAAGAGTTCTACTTTTTTTTTTCTTTAAAGCCAGGGACTTTTCCCCCTATTAATCTAATCTCAGAAATCAAAGATGACAAAAAGAAAAGAAAATGCTCCTAGCCCTGGGAGCAAATTCGTGGACAGGACATTCAAGGCTGCATGTAGGAAAGGGTAAAATATAAGACAGACGCCATACAGAGCTAATGAAGAGAAATCCTTATGCAATTTAATGGCTAAATGTAGAGGAGAAGCAAAGCTCCTGAAGGGTAGTGGGTGAAAATGTAATTATTATGGCTTTTCCTCTCACTTCATTAATGGAAGTGCTGCTTATGACTGAGCAGTCTCTTAATAGAGGTTCTGAAACTTGCCAGGCGGCTTATGAACAGATTGATCTATTCCAAAGTTTAGAATTTGCTCCCTTTCCGACATTCCGAGAGTCAGAAATTAAGAAAACTTCCATTTCTTAAAACAGTTAAGAACTTTGATTTTATTGCCTTTGCCCACTCTCCTGATTCTGTTCTCCTTCTTTTAAAAACAACCCAAATACATTCCCCAAACTACATATTAATCTTGCAGTGAAATGAAAAAACTGTCTTTGAATCTTCCTGTCTAAAGGCTCACAAAAACAGGCCTAGGGGGCGGTAACCGAAAATCAGACAAATCCAGGTTCCCAGTCCCCATCACAGCTTCTCCATCCTACTAACACACTTAAGGCTCAAAAAGCAAAATTAATGCCCAGACAGCCTGTGAGGCACATAGACATGGAAAAATGTTCTATCCTGGTCATACCAGGCATCAGATAAGATACTAAAATCTTCTACCGATCATTCATTTAGAAGGGGTTCTAACCTTTAAAATCATGTTCTAACATCAATACTCTGACAGGGATCTTGAATCACACCCATGATGGCTTCTTTGTCAAGTAAGCAAGGAAGTTATATCATTTTGGTGCCTGGAAATTCCTATGTGGTCCATTGAACTGCAAAGATCTTGGATCCGTATTAAAGTCTGTGGATCTCCACATAAATGATATCTCTGTTACAGAGAAGGAAGGTGCTGCTGCACTTTCTAGAATGTCTCTGGCTTTCTATCAGTCAGATGCTACAAGTTTTATTTCAACCAGGCTTCCAGTGTGCCCAATGCCAAACTTCATGCTTCAGCAAGGGAAGAAAAGATGAGATCCCAGGAACATACCAGACCTCTCAGAAGAAGGAGTCAAAGCCTGCTTCAATTGGACAAAGCTTGGTCCCCCATATTAGCACCAATCTCCTGTCATTTAGTTCCTCACAGATTAAATTATAGCTTCTCTCAGAGAAGACCTGGGTACTTAGAAGGAATCATGGTAGAAAGTAAAGTAGAAATTCCAAGGGCAGATATCCACAAGGTCAGGCATCACAGCATCTGAGGCCAAACAAGAAAGTGGAGGAATTGAATGAGCAGCAACTTGGGGGTGCTCAAGCTTCTCTAGTCCTGGCCCAGCCTCACGGCCCCACCTGTACTCCCATCATGGGCACCACCTCTTCAAGCCACAGCAAGTCCAATGGAGCTGAGGTTCGCGTTTGTCGGTGGTGAATTCGGCGTAGCCGTAGAAGGTATAGGATGATAGCCAGTAGCACCACCAGGATACAGGCAAAGAAGAGATAGTGGTTGTATACAAATGAGAGACGGAACCAGCTACCATGGGCTTGTCGGACACCTTCCTGCCGAAGATCCCTACGGAAGAATTAAGAATTTGTAGGTGGAAAAAACTGTTAGTTTCAGAGAGAGACATTTACTCTGATTTGAAAGGCCCTGTAGTTTTATTCCATCCACATAAACATTTTATGACACCAGCTCCACAGAGCAGGCAAAGCTGAAGAACATCCCCAGCCCCAGGGCTGCCACAAGATCCCTCCTGTGTCTTCCTTCCCACGGCCTCCAAAAGGGACCTGCAGGCTTATCCCCTCCAGAATCTAAGGTAAAATGGGAAGGCCTTTGAAACTGAAGCTCAAAAAATTAACAGAAAGGCTAGATTGGCCCTCTGTAACATTTATCTTAAAATATGGTTTATAAATATAGTATGAATGAGAATATGGTTTCCCCTAAATCCAATAGAGAAATCAGAGTATGTCTGAATCCTTTTATTAAAGTTGCTATGCATCTGAGCACAGTGGCAAATGCCTGTAATCGAAGCACTTTGGGAGGCCAAGCCAGGAGGATTACTTGAAGCCAGGAGTTCAAAACCAGCCTGGTCAACATAATAAAACCCCATCTCTCCAGAAGAAAAATTTAAAAATTAGCTGGGCATGGTGGTAAGCACCTGTACTCCCAGCTACGCAGAAGGCTAAGGCGAGAGAGTCACTTGAGCCCAGGAGCTTAAGGTTGCAGTGAGCTACGAACATGGCACTGCCACCACACTCAGCCCAGGCAACAGAGCGAGACCCTGTCTCAAAAAAAAAATAATAATAAAGTTACTGTGTTTTCTTAGGATCTAGGATATGTCTAAATAAAGCAGTTACCTGATCAACTATATTATAGTCTGAAAAAATAACGATAAGATATGAAAACCAAGAGCAATGGTCCACTTGGCTAGAACAGAAGCCACTCTTCAGCGATCCGGATCCCAGATCTAGTTTTGTCTTGTTTGACCTGCAGTGTTCTTTTATAATGTGAATCTCTAAACTGAAAGACTTCATAAAAAATATGGATCTCCAACTTTTCTGGACTGATGAGAACTGGCAATGCTGGGACAGCACTTGTGCGTGACAATAACCAGCCCATTAATTGGGGTATACTTTCTAGTTGTGGGCAACCCTCACCTAGCCCACTTCCCTCACTTCTATCACTTCCCTGGCTCCTGACAGTATTGAGTTTAGAGAAACAGACATCAAAGATGAAAAATTCATCTGAGTTTATCTGAAACAGTCCAGGGTACAGAGTACCTAAAAACTGTCCCAAATATCTTACAGTACATGGAAGTAAGGCATCAGGCTACCAGAGTTTGTTGAAAGTAGCCCTACTAAAAACATCTCACGTCCTTTGTTCTAATGCTGACCCACCAAAAGAGCCTTCAAAGTCAACGACACAATTTCTGGAGTGCCTCTCTCCATTACGAAAGATTGCTCTAGACATCCTACCCCTGTTCTTTAGTCAGATGTGTTTTCCAGGGTTACCCAAGAATGACATTTTAGCTTGTCAGCATCTTGGAAGTGATTAGTAAGAGCTCAGTCCTAAAGCTGGGTAAACAAATAAAGCTGGATTTCTGAGGTAGCAAAGCTGAGTAACAAACTCCAAATCAGTAATGCTCAACCTTCTCTGAGCATGCCTGATAGTAATACTGGCTCACATGGAAGTAATAGGAATTTGTTCTTGTGAGGAGGTGGGGAGGAAGGTCACTTAAGATCTATTCTAAGCCAGTTTAAAAAAAAAAAACAAAACCTGTTCTGAGACATCAACTGATACCCTGAGCTCAAGATTCCAGATTGGTCAGTCTTACTTTACCTGAGTGGTAAGAATCGTGTTTTATATAGAATGGCTCCCAGCGTCCACTGAACCTCTCGGTCATACACCAGCTGGGCTGTCCGCAGGTTTGAGTAGTCATAGGGAAAGTGGAATCCTTCATGTAAGACTTGATACATCCAAGCTGATTTAAAACACTGATATCTGTGTAACAAAAATAATTGAATTTTTAAAAAAGAAAAAGAATTATAATACTTTCCTTTACAATAAGCCATTCCATATTCCTGCCAGTTATTAAAAAACCTACCTTCTCCCGCTTCACCTTCCTCACCTCTAAGTGGGTTACTTCTAAGTCAGCCTATTTATCTTGTGTTTATCACAAAGGCAATAATGATACTGAGGCTGTGTTTTTCTTTTTCTTTTTTTTTTAAGAGTTGCTATCTTCAGAGACCAATTATATGATGATGTTTGGGATTTACTTCAAAATAACCTAGTTGTAGCAAGAAGGGGATCGTGGGTGGGAAAACAGATAAAAACAAGATGGGCCAGGATCCAATAACTGAGAGTAGGAAAGCAGGGTGACAGGTACACTGGAGTTTATCACACTATTCTAGTTTTGTTTATGTTAAACAGTTTTTAACTAAAACATTTAAAAAATGAAAGGACCAATGAATCAAACTGGCAAAATGTTATTTGTTGAAGTTGTGTGATAGTTACATGAGGGTTTATGTTGCTATTCTCTCTACTTTTCTGTATGTTTGATATTTTCTATAATAAAAGTTGAAAAACAATCATCACTTTTGGCCAGGCACAGGGGCTCATGACTGTAATCCTAGCACTCTGGGAGAGTAAGGCAGGCAGACCACTTGAGCTCAGAAGTTCAAGACCAGCCTGGCAGCATGATGAAACCTCATCTCTACAAATGGCATGGGGGCACATGCCTATAGTCCCAGCTACTTGGGGAGTTGAGGCAGGAGAATCACTTGAACCTGGGAGGTGGAGGTTGCAGTGAGCTAAGATCGTGCCACTACACTCCAACCTGGGCGACAAAAGGAGACCGTGTCTCAAAAAATAAAAAAATTTAATCAAATGCCCCCTCAACATGAAATCTAATCTGCACTATTGCTCACTGTCCCTCCTGCATTATAATCTGCCATCTAGATTTTTAAGGCCACATCTAAGGAGGAAAGGAAAATGACTTACTTGAGTCGATGCTCATCTGCATGTGATGAAAAGAGGCCATTCTTGAATCTCTGAGTTAGTACCGACCAAGCCATGCCACAGTAATCCTGGATCAACCGCAGAGAAAATAGTGCAACATGAGTTTGGAGGCAAACTCTCTACCTTCCCCTCAGTCACAGCTGTTCTATTTCTAAAGTTACTTGTGGGCTACCAACTGACAAAGGAAAACAGAAACGGCATATTTATAAACACTGTGACATACCCCCGTTTATTCTTGTCACCTCAGGTTGGTCTAGTACCAAGCAAGCCTGATGTGGCTTCTGAGCCTCTTAGGCTTCAGAGGGGCTGAGGTTAGGACTAAGGAATAGCAATGTCAAAAGCCAAAGACAGCTTCATTCTACTCCACATAGGACTGACATGAGCAGGGAGAACAGATGAAAGAGGAGGGTTATAAACCTGTCATTGGCCTCCCTCGGTGTTCTAATTCTCACCAGAAGAATCATTCCTTTTGGTTTGTTCAGTGAACGAACATTTACTGAATGTCTGCTATGTGCCAGGTGCTGTTCTAGATGCCAGGGAATCATGCAGTCAATAAAACAGACAAAAATTCCTGTCTTCAAGGAAGCTTACATTCTAGTGGTAAGAGACAGACACTCCCGCCACCCGCCGCCACACACTATGCTGAATGACATAAATGCTTGGGGAAAAATAAAGCAGGAAAGGGCAATAGGTAATATGGAGAGTGTTGTCATTTTGGAGAGAGTGGTCCCAGAAGTGGCTCTGGGAAGATAACGTTTGAGTCAAAGTTAAAAAGTTAAAAAGAACAAAATCATCTCTTTTACCTGGGAAAGATAACACATTAAGCCACTAGCAATGTCGGCAAGCAATAACTTGAGCCTTTTGGTATTCAAGGGATAGAATTTGAAGAAGTTCTGAGATAAGAGAAAGATTCAGGCCATGGACAGTTAGGGAGCTCTGGGCTACAGAAAAAAAGGGAGCATGAAGGTCATCCTGGAGGCTGGAGAGAAAGGAGTAAATACAAACCAGGTGTTCTGCAATATTTCTTAAGGACTGCTTTTTGGGAACAGAAAAGTACAGATACTGCAGATATTATTCAATTGGAAGTCTTACACCAAGAGAACTCTAGAAAATTGTAAGAAAGAAAGAATAAGAAACATGAGGATAGGCCGGGCGTGGTGACTCACACCTGTAATCTCAGCACTTTGGGAGGCTAAGGTGGGTGGATCACCTCAGGTCAGGAGTTCAAGACCAGCCTGCCAACATGGAGAAACCCTGTCTCTACTAAAAATACAAATATTAGTCAGGCATCGTGGTGGGCATCTGTAATCCCAGCTACTCGGGAAGCTGAGGCAGGAGAATTGCTTGAACCCAGGAGGTGGTGGTTGCAGCAAGCCGAGATCTTGCCACTGCACTCCAGCCTGGGCTACAGAGCAACACTCTGTCTCAAAAAAAAAAAAAAAAGAAAAAGAAAAAAGAAAAAGAAAAATGAGGACAGATTCTCCCATTAATTTCTCTATGAAAAAGACAGATTAGAGAGATACACAACAATTCAAAGAGATGGCCCTAAATTAAGCAGAGAATGATAGAAAGCTGGCTAAACTTTTACCTGTCCAAGTAACCAATGATTTAAGCCTTACATGATGCTTAAGTCTATATGATCAAAGTGAAATTTTACTCCTCCAAAAGCACATTACAACAGAGAATAGCCAGCAAGGGGAAAAATACTGGAGGTGACATTTCTTGGCCATAAGCATTAAACAAGACTACTGGAAAGCTGGAAGAAAAACCATTAGCCAACACAAAAATTTCACACCTGGGTAACAATTTGGGTGATATGACATCCATGAAAACTACATTTAGTTAATTAGAAGGCAGTACAGCATAGCTAGATCCTTAAGTTCTGTGAGTCCACTTCCTCATCTGTAAAATGAGGGTTCAAAGGGCTCCAGCAAAGAACAAGTGGGATTCTGTATGCAAAGCCCTTTGTACAGCGCCTGGCACAGAGTGAGGCATTCAATAAATGGCTGCAGCCAGCATAAGCCATGTTTATCGTTAATAATTTACCTGAGCAGCCTTGGCAAATGTTGGCCCATGGTAGCGGCCACCAATGCGCAACACATCCTCTGTACAGTAAAAAAACTCAGAGAAGCCATAGAACTCGCTGTGGTTGAAGTCAATTGGCGATTGATAGATGCCATTGAGTGAGGCCTGGCTGGCGTTGGAGCGAGCCAGCAGGGGGCTCAGCATTGCCCCACAAGACACCCAGTCTCCTCTTCCTCGGACATGCAACACTTGGCTGTTCCTCTCCACCACATCTGTGAGTCCCACAGGCAGGCAGGGATCCAGAAATGGATTGTCGGGACTCAGACCTGTCTTCTGACCCAGCAATCTGCCACAATGACAAAAACAAAGAAAATATTCATGCCTGTACTCAACGTAGTCTAAGAAACACAATGTGCTTCATAAATATCTTGCTACTGGTTTTTATGATATTCCTAGAAATGAGGATGGAGTGCAGTATTACCATGGAAATTCATCACATACACATTTAACTTAAGCAAATTAAATTTAGGGGAAAAAAAAGAGGAACATGGTGATCGGTTCTGTTCTACCTTTTAGTCAACATGTGTATTTCATTTCCTAGGGTGTAGTGAAATTGGAGATGTGAATCTGCTGTTCTCTATCTGGTCTTCATTCCCACATACCTCTTAAAAGTGCAAGGACCTTATCATGCAGAGTGTGGTTCTAATGTTTAAATATACAGCTTTCACAACAATGTTCTTCAAACGTCATAGTATCTGTGGGAGACATCTGAGCACCTCAACCCAAGCAATGTTTGTATAGACTTAGGAGTACTGTCAGAGTACAAACACACCACTTGATTTTAATGCATTTGTCATCATCCAGGGCACGAGGATTCTCCCAAAGCACCTTGAACTCCTAGAGACTAAGATTTACAAAAACAAAAAAGACTTTTGGGACAATATTTTCTTCAACACGCTGTAAATATAAGACAATTGATTGCTGCGGATAAATTATTAGGAATGGGATATACCAATCTCTCTTTAAGCTAGTGTTTCTAGCTTAAGTGTACATAGATAAGTACATAGGTAAGTCTGATGTTTGCTTTATGGTAGGGGGTGAGGTGGGAAGGGCTATGAGGAGAGATTCCTGAAGAGTGGACCATGGCAGTGGCTCATCTGCAATGGCTGGCAATGGTGATGGAGCCCATGCCTGCCTCTGAATTAGCAGTGCTGGAACAGAACAGGCTGCAGGAAGCCACCTGGAACCTCAAAACGGGGAGAAGAGCAGAAAGCTTTAATTCCCACCATGGCCATAACACAGTTCCAGTTATTTCGAGTTTATACTTGCCTAGCAACCATATTCTCATTCCTCAAAAAGATTACTATGAAGATCTGGCCAAGGACAGAAATTAAGTTGGGCTCCAAACAACTTTGCCAATTGCAGTTAATTATCAGTTCCTAAACAGATATTGAAGAGTGGAGTTCTCAGAATGAGGATGCACCCACAAGTGTAAAGACTGAAGGCGAGTACAGTAGGACACCTTAGAACAACTGGAACCAAGTATTTTAAGGATGCGACACCAACTGTAAGGAAAACTCAGAAAACAGTTATTGAGAAGAGAGAATGATCGTTTTACCACCCCAGGAAACGGGTTTCTTTAGTAGACTGGCAGCTACACAAGATATGCCTTTTATTCATCAATCACGTGAAGTAACTTAGCTACTTGGCAAGAAAATACCAATGCATGGGAAGAAGAAGATGCAGTCTGGCAAGAAGTAGTTTGGGGGCAGAAGAAAACAGATAGAAAAAAGAGCAGCAGAACAACTAAAGGAGAAAATAGAAAAGAAGCACAGCAGCTAATGAAGAAGGAAAACCAAAACTAGTGTGAAACTTTCACAACAGATGTTCTTCAGACATCACAGTGGCTGCAGGAGACATCTGAGCACCTCAACCCAAGCAATGTTTGTATAGATTTAGGAGTACTGTCAGAGTACAAACACTTCACTTGATTTTTTTTTTTTTTTGATAAAAACCATACATCCTTTTTATTGTTAAGTCATAAAGAGGTATCAAAATTAAAAGCAAAAATTACAGGGTAAGACTTAACAAAACTACTAGGAGCGTCAAAAAGGAAGTGAAAATGGGACTAGGCGCAGGGAAATATGAATTAATGAACATGGGAAAGACAAGGATGGGGAGAACAGTGAGCATGTGCTGAAGATACTAGGGGAGAGGATCTGGTGAAAAATTTGATCTTAGACAAGCGCATAGGTAAAGAAATAATGGGATAAGATTTCTAAACCCCACTGTGCTTAAGAGTCATCCTCGCCATTGGCGCCGTCTCTGTCATCCTCTCCTTCCTCAGCCTCTTTTTCATCATCCTTGATCAACTCCAGCTGGTCATCCCCCCGATCTTCATTATCATCATCATCCAGTAGGTCCCCCTCCTCAGCAGAGTCATCTGCACCCCCCTCAGACTCCATCTTCACATTAGTCTCATCTTTCTTCACGGAGCTGCTGCTCTGCTCCTCTTCTGACTTATCATTCTTCATCTCTACTGCTTGTTTGCTCTGTTCCTTTTCAATTTTTTCCAGGTTTTCCAGGAGAGAATCCACTTTTTGTTTTATCTGGGTCAGTTCCTTCTTAATGGCCTGAAGGTCATCTCCTTTCAATTTTCCAGACTTGGAAGATCCCCGCTGTCCACTCTTAGAATTGAAGCCACTTTTGCCCCTTCGTGAGGTGTTTCCTGATACACGCTGACGTTTCGAGGGCACTACAGCCCGAGCAATAGGAGGAGGAGGAGGTACACGTGCTGGGTAACTGTACATCCTATCATAATAATCCCGTTGAAAGTCATAGTCCAAGTCAAAAGAGGAGCCGTACATCTCCGCTGCAGATCGTTTCACACCTGCTTTTCCTCGGTTCACTTTTGGCTCTGCGGCCAGGTTAATATCTAAAACCTGGCCAGCAATCATTCTGCCATCCTCTCCTGCTACAGCAGCCCGGGCATTTCTCTCATTAACATACTGAACGAAGGCAAAGCCCTTATGAACAGAGCAGCCCACAATTTTGCCATACTTCGAAAAGATTGCCTCCACATCAGATTTCTTGACCACGAGAGTGTTGAGATTCCCAATGAACACACGGGAGTTCATGGAGCGAGGATCTGTCTTGTTGGTAACGTTGCTGGCCATTGTGTTTGATGATAAGGTTTGTCACAAAGCCGAAAACAGGAGGGAGGAGGGAGAAGAGATTCGATTCTGAGTCTCCTACTCCCTGGTTCTACGTGCAGAAGCCGACTGCTGCTGGAGGTCGGCAATGCGGAGACAACCGCTCAGTCTTCGACTCTTCACAAAATGGCCACTTCACTTGATTTTAATGCATTTGTCAATCATCCAGGGCACCAGGATTCTCCCAAAGCACCTTGAACTTCTAGAGACTAAGACTTACAAAAACAAAAAAGACTTATGGGACAATATTTTCTTCAACATGCTATAAATGTAAGATAACTGATTGCTGTGGATAAATTATTACAAATGGGATATACCAGTATCTCTTCAAGCTAGTGTTTCTAGCTAAATGGTTAAGTGTACATGTTTGCTTAATATCAGCCCTGCCCTTTCACCTGTGGTCCTTCTCTCAGTGATTGGGTTCCTCACCCTTCTGGTTATCTAGGCTAGACTCTCAGCACTGCTGGCCATCCTCCCTTCCCTACCTATACTACCACAATCTATCACCCAATTACACTGTTATTTCACTCCAAAATTCTGTGTAAATTTTGTGGTGGAAAAGAACTCTGCTTTCTCTTATGCTTTCCTTTAATGTGCATATGATAAAATAAATAATTTTACATACTTAAAAAAAAAAAAAGAAGAAACCCCACAACTGTTTGTAATATTATGGTCTAACTACTTTACTTCATCTGGTACTCGAATGAAGAATCCGTGATCTGTCGAATCCTAAAGGCAAAACGAACTATTCTGAATTTGACGAGAGACCATTTTAAAAGTTAATTTTAACTACGGGTGCTTTTTATCTTTTAGACATACTACAGAACTGAACTCCCACAAAAGATGCAACTGCACTGTGATTCTGCAAACATGTCATGAACACTTCCATGCAGAAGGAACTGTTAGCAGCTACACTACATATTGTATATTTTAAGTTGGCAATTTAATTCATCTCCCTTATCCTGTGATGCCAGGTCTGAATATGGGAAACAGCAAGAGATCACAATAAGCTGCCGTACATTATGAGTCCTAACAAAGCTCAGAATGTACCCTCACCCAGACCAGGAGAGGTCTTTAAGAGATGCTACCCCATTGGCAGGGGTGGTCAGAAAGGAGGAGGAAGCAAGGACTTATCTTAGATGATGTGAATATTTCTTCCTAATATCTGCAGCTGGACACTGTATTTCAGAAACTCAGCTTCCATGTCAAATGTACCTGTTTTTGTTAAGAGTTTCATTCAGAACAAGGTCTTCATAGCGCTGCCGGGCAAAGTTGCCTCCGAAACCCAAAAAAGTTGTGACGTAAACCCTGTACACATGTTCAGTGTGCTGCACATCACAGCCCAGGTTGAACTCAGCCAGCAGGATCTTGGCAGCTTCTTCCTGTAATAAGACACCAAGAGAAAAAAGAGAATTTTAGTTTTGGGTGCTTTCTAGAAAGCTATGACATTGCTAATATACCAGGCTTCATTTCTATGACTACTCTTTAAAATATCTTAAGCATTCGTTCATCCTCATGGCAATATTTTAAACAAAGACACGAAATGACAAGACTGCACCAAAAGGTACAAATTACACACTAAATTAAAAACTAAATATAAAATTACAGACCAAAACACTATCTGCAGTTATATAGGAGGTAGAATTACTACAGATATCATTTTCTCACATGTATTTTTCTGTATTTTCCAATTCCCCACAATGGGAATTTATTTTAATAAATAGGAAAAAAAATCCTTCAATAAAAACACATTTAAGGAATTCCATGGATCATTATCAGATCTATTCTATGGCCTTTTCTTTTCTTTTTGAGACAGTGTTTCACTCTGTTGCCAGTCTGGAGTGCAGTGGTGTGATCTTAGGTCACTGCAACCTCTGCCTCCTGGGTTCAAGCGATTCTCTTGCCTCAGCCTCCTGAATAGCTAGGACTACAGGCACATACCACCACGCTCAGCTAATTTTTGTATTTTTAGTAGAAATGGGGTTTCATAATGTTGGTTAGGATGGTCTGAATCTCTCAACTTCGTGATCCGCCCACCTTGGCCTCCCAAAGTGCCAGGATTACAGATGTGAAGCATCATGCCCAGTTCTGTGGCCTTTTCTAAAATTATCCAAGAAGCCGTAAGGTTCCTTGTGACAGGTTTGGGGATTGAGAAAGTTCCACTTCATTGTACCTCCAATGAAAATGTGTTATATCTTTTTCTTGAACCCCAAGGGCAGAGGCTGAATTAATTATATTCCTCAGCTCATGCCACATTTATCATGGCAAAGGCTCTCTTTTGCTTTATTTATTCCCTTTTATCATCATACTTATTCCCATTCCCACTCTCTGCCATAGGCAACCATTGTAATGTGCTTATGTATAATTACTGTATATATGTATTGTTATAAAATGAAGATTCTTGTTTTCAATTAATTTTTAATTTGTGAAAATGTCATTGTGCCCTGCAATTTCACTCCAAAGTATATAACAAGAGATCCAAAAACTGGGCCAGGCATGGTGGCTCACACCTGTAATCCCAGCACTTTGGGAGGCCAAGGTGGGAGGATCACTTGAGGTCAGGAGTTTGGGAACAGCCTGGCCAACATGGTGAAACCCCATCTCTACCAAAAATACAAAAATTAGCCAGGCATGTTGGTGGATGCCTGTAATCCCAGATACTAGGAGGCTGAGGCAGGAGAATTGCTTGAACCCAGCAGGCAGAGGTTGCAGGAGCCAAAATCACCCCACAACACTCCAGACTGGGTGACAAGAGGGAAACTCCATCTCAAAAAAAAAAAAAACCTTATGTGCATACAAAAATGTGTACATGAATGTTCACAGCAGTATTGTGCATTATAGCCAAAAAGGGAAACCACTCAAATGTTCATCAGCTGATAAATGGATAAACAAAATATGGCATGGTTGGTCATACGATGGAATGTTATTCAGCCATAAAAAGGAATGAAATACTCATACCATGAGATGGATGAACCTTGAAAACATTTTGCTAAACAAAAGAAGCCAGATATAAAACACCACATATTGTATGATTTCATTTATACAAAATGTCTGGAATAGGCAAATCCACTAGAGAGAAAAAGTAGATTAATAGTTGTCAGGGGTCGGGAGAAGACAGAATGATGAGTGACTGCTAACGGTGAGTGGGGAGTGAATATAGGGAGTGAATATAGGGGGTGATGAAAATGTTCTGGAATGCAATAGTGATAGTTGCACAACTTTGTGAATGTAAATAACTTTGTGAGTTGTACAAAAAAAGATATTAGGCATTTAGGATTACTCAAAATTTTAAAAATGCTATCACATTATCTTACAGTTTCATTCACTTTTACCAAGCACTAAGATTCATCTTGAAGAGCCATTATATTGCTACATGTAATATTTTTGAGACGAGTCTCACTCTGTCACCCAGGCTGGAGTGCAGTAGTGTGATACTGCAACCTCTGCCTCTCAGGTTCAAGCAATTCTCCTGCCTCAGCCTCCTGAATAGCTGGGATTATAGGTGCATGCCACCACACCTGGCTAATTTTTGTATTTTTACTAAGAGATGGGGTTTCCCCATGTTGGCCAGGCTGGACTTAACTCCCGACCTTGAGTAATCCACCTGCCTTGGCCTCCCAAAGTGCTGGGATTACAGGCGTGAGCCACCATGCCCAGCCTGCTCTATGTAAATCTAATTTGTTGCTTGCAAGTATGCATCCTATACCAGTGTTGCTTTCCATAACAAAGTCGCTTTCTAAATCTGCACACACGAAAAAGTCATTTAAGGTGCCACTTGTCACCTATTTCTTAGTATCAGAACCATGCCTTTCTTTTACCTGTTGAATACATACTAACAAATATAGACTAAAAAGTCTCACAACCTAGTTAGTCCCCCAAATTTCCAACCCCAGAATGAAATTCTCTGCTGATTGCTAAACTCACATTTCCAATAGTCCTGTGGATATTCTGACACATATGTTCCTTGGATATCTACATACCCAAAATTGAAGTCATTAGTTTTACGACTTCTGAACTAGAAGACCAGATAGACGCTCTCATCCAGATCTCTCAGGACAATACTGCTTGCTTAATATCACCACTGCCCTTTCCCCTTGTGGCTCTTCTCTCAGTGACTGGGTTCTTCACTCTTCTGGTTAATGGTTAACTAGGATAGATCCTCAGCACTGCTGGCCATCCTCCCACCCTACTCACACTACCACAATCAATTGCTCAATTATATTGGTTTTTCACTCCAAACTATCCCCTCCCTTTCATTTCCACTTTGTCTAATTTAGCCCTTTATTACTTCTCACTCAAGGTTCCCTGACCTATATTCTTTCTCCTACTGACACAAAAATTCTTTCCCTACAAAAAACAGATCAGATAACAGTCACATAATTAACATCATCATAAAATTCAGAGCTGGGGAGGACCTTCACAGTTTAATTATTTTATAAATGATGAAACTGAGGCCCATGTGACTGCCTTACTCAAAAACCTTTGCTAGTTCTCCACTATCTATGGAAATAAAAGCCAGTCCCCCTATGATAGGCCTCAATATCGCTCATGATTTAGCTCCATCTTATCTTCCCAGCCTTATCTAGCATGCCTGAAAATCCTAGACTGCAACAGGCTATTTGTCATTCCCTGGGCATTCTGACCTCTCTGCTGCTTTTTCTGTGCCTTTGTGTTCCCTCCATACAGGTGGCCTTCCCTCAGCCTCCACTATGCAAAAGCCTATTCTTATCCAAGGCCCAGGTAAATACTTTACCTTCTATGAAGCCACAATGGCTCCCATTCAACTTTGCAAACTGAGTTGGCCCTGCCAGTCCCCACACTGCCCAAGCGCTATTTAAAAGAGATGGTCTCAATTATGGGCAATTTACACCCTGCCTCACACATCGGGCAATGTCTGGAGACACTTTTTATTGTCCACAACTGGAAGGGGGAGGGTTGTTACTGACATCTGATAGAGAAAAGAGATATCATATGATACATGGAACAACCCCTGACAACAAAGAATTATCTGACCCAAAATGTCAATAGTGCCAAGGATGAAAAGCCCTGGTTTAGATCAAGTTGAGCACCGCTATGGTCTGCCTGATGTCACAAGCTGTCTCCACTGACACATAAATTATAACTTTTTAGGGACAGTGTAACTAACATGTTTATTCCTTTATATAATATTCTCTATTCCTTGCACATAATAGGTGTACATAATAGGTGCACATAGTAGGTGTACAAAAAGTGTCTATCTAGGATGAAACTTCTTCCTCTAAAGACATTCTTTACATTCTAGTGGGGTAAAGATTATTAGAAGCCCTAGAATGGAATCATCAGTAAGGGAAAGAGAATCACATTTATTGAACAATAGATATGTATCAAATATTGTGCTCCAGAATTTAAATGCATTATTATGTTTATCCTCAGGCAATGGCAGGAGATACCTAGTATAACTGTAACTGTTAAAATGTATCAAACACTTATTGTATGCTGGGCAGTTTGCTAAATGCTTTACAAACATGGGATCATTTCATCCTCACAACTTTATGAAGTAGATACTATTATTATCTCTTTTTCACACAAGGAAGCTGAGACTCAGAGAGGTAACCTACTCAAGATAACAAATATTTAGAGCCAGGCAAGTTGCTCTAAGTCCAAAGACAGTGTCCTTCCTTCTCAAATACTAGCATTCCTAGCTATTATTTATTTCCCTAAAAGTAAAATACCTGATTTGCGGGAAGGGCAGAGGTTGAGGTAGGAACTTCATAAGCAATTTGGAGAGAGGCTCCTCCCATATCCAGTATCCCTACTGTCCTTCTCCGTCCTGCTGCCAATTCCTGGGTAGCCTCAGCATCTGATTCTGAAATAAATAAGGGAACAAAAAGGCTCTAGTAATTAAAAAAAAAAAATTAAGTCAAACATCCAAAACAGCAATCCCTTAAAAAATTGAAAGCAGGCAGGTACTATAGCTCACACCTGTAATCCCAGCACTTTGGGAGGCCAAGGTGGGAGGACTGCCTGAGAACAGGAGTTCAAAACCAGCCTGGGCAACATAGTGAGACACTCCCACAAATTTTTTTTCAAAAAAGTAGCTCGGCATGATGGTGCACACCTGTGGTCCCAGCTACTTAGGAGGCTGAGGCCAGAGGATCATTTGAACCCAGGGGTTTGAGGCTGCAGTGAGCTATTATTATGCCACTGAACTCTAGCCTTGGTGACAGAGAACCTGTCTTAAGATTAAAAAAAAGAAAGCAAACAAATATACTAACTGAATCAACTGTATATTGCACAAAGAATAATTCTTGCAAATTACTTAAATATGACATTTTGTACTACATATTCCTAGTGGGATACAGCCTAAGAACAAAAGAAACAAATATCTTAAGCTACATTCAAGTAGTCTTATATTTGTTAACAATATTGTTGGTTTTATTATTATTACTACTACTACTACTATATTTTGAGACAAAGTTTTGCTGTCTCCAGGCTGGAGTGCAGTGACGCGATCTCGGCTCAGTGCAACCTCTGCCTCCTGGGTTCAAGCGATTCTCCTGCCTCAGCCTCTCAAGTAGCTGGGATTACAGGCACGTGCCACCACACCCAGCTAAGTTTTATATTTTTAGTAGGGACGGGGTTTCACCATGTTAGCCAGGATAGTCTCAAACTACTGACCTCACGATCAACTTGCTTTGGCCTCCCAAAGTACTGGGATTACAGGCATGAGCCACCACATCTGGCCTGGCTTTATTATTTAAAAATTATGAAATATATTGTGGAATAAAACAAATGTTTATGTCAATATCTTTAGGAATAAAGATTCAGCATAACAGAAAAAACAAGAATATAGGTATAAAAATCAAATAAATTAAGTAACAACCCTATAATCTTAAATGTGAATCAGAAATATGACTACAAACTCATGATTTATTTTTCTCTTTCTAAAAAATACATATTTCTTAGCTCTGTTCACTGAAAGGCCTAGAAGCAATGATATCCCAGGAGTAATGAGCACCAGTGGTATCTGGACCAATGATCTCTAAATACCATCTTCTACTAAAAGAAACCAAGTCCAGGCCTAGTGGTTCACACATGTAATCCCAGCACTTTGGGAGGCTGAGGTGTGTGGATCATCTGAGGTCATGAGTTCAAGACCAGCCTGGCCAACATGGTGAAAACTGTCTCTACTAAAAATACCAAAAATTAGCTGGCCATAGTGGTGGGTGCCCATAATCCCAGCTACTCAGAAGGCTGAGACAGGAGAATTGCTTGAACATGGGAGACAGAGGTTGCAGTGAACTGAGATTGTACCATTGCACTCCAGCCTGGGTGACAAGATGAGAATCTGTCTCAAAAAAAAAACAAAAAAACAAAAAGGATATAGGAGCCAACCTAAAGACGCTCCTAGTAATGATGTGATGGGCCTTTCATCCATCTAATATGTTAAAATCCATGAGTTCATAAAAATAATTAAAACTTTTTTTTCCTAGGTACAGTGGCTCACAACTGTAATCCTAGCACTTTGGGAGGCTGAGGTGGGTGGATCACGAGGTCAGAAGTTTGAGACCAGCCTGACCAACATGGTGAAACCTTGTCTCTACTAAAAAATACAAAAATTAGCCAGGGGGGTAGAGGGCACCTGTAATCCCAGTTACTCAGGAGGTTGAGGCAGGAGAATCGCTTGAACCCAGGAGTCGGAGGTTGCAGTGAGCCGAGATCGCACAGTTGAGATCATGCCACTGCACTCCAGCCTGGGCAACTGAGCAAGATTCCGTCTCAAAAACAAGAAAACAAAAAACAAAACAAAAAAAAACACACACAAGCAAACACATACACAAAATAAAAAACATTTTTCCCCACTGGTTACCTTTGGAAGTTATTCAGTCACCAACTCATTATTCAGAAATGTGATACATAAAGAATAAGAATCAAGGATTTATTCTGTCTTTCCCATAAGAACTACATGTCAGTATATCCAGAGTTGATCAAGAAAGTTCATTATACAAAAATTCTAGCTGTCAAATGCATAAGGAATGACAGAATTAGAAATATCACCATTTTGCGATCTCTAATGAAAAAACATCTAAGCAATGATCACAGTTGGTTATTACAACCATTCTGTGAAAGGCAGATAAGGAATTTTAATACTAAATTAGATCAGGCTGATAATACCTGAACCCTCAATACCTGATCAGTCTGAACACAACAAAAAGTGAGTCAACCAGCCATTACAAAACTCCTGATGTGAGTAGTGGGAAACACCCAGCACTTTCTGTGATTTAGTCTTGCAGATGGAATTGAATCTGAGTCTAATCAAACATCTATATCTGACCTCCAGTTTAAAGGACATATGAGGGGATAAGAAACATGTTAAAAAAAAACATGTGAACCCACAAAGATGCAGTCAATCAAATCCAGCATGTGGCAAATTCTTTCTACCAGGTGATCCAATTTTTTCTTGCTTCAAAAGGCAAGGGAGTGAGGTGGTAAGATTAACCATCATATATTAAAAGAGACTATAGAGACGTATTAACCAATGCAATGCATGACCCTTGTTCAGATTCTGATTTGAACAAGCCCACCACAAATAAACATTCTTCAGAAAATCAAGAAAATCTCTACCTAGGATGGGTATTAGGATGGGTATTGTATAATATTAGAAATGGTTAATTCTGTTAAGTTTAAAAATGGCATTATGGATGTATTTTTTGTTTTGAAACTCCTCATCTGTTGTAGATATATACTGACACGCATGAAAATAAAAATTACATGTCTGGGGTTTGCTGTTTAAAAAATCCAATGAGGAAAAAAAGAAAAAATGAACCCCCATGAACTCATTACCCAGACTCAATATTTACTAACATTTTGTCATTTCTCCCCCATCTCCCTCAATATATCAAAGGTTTTAAAAAATTATTTATTCTACTTTTAAGAATGTTTAAACTTTCCATATAAAAAGAAATAAAAGAAAGTATATTTGGACTGGAAAATGAAGCATATTATGTTTGAAAAAAGAAAAACAACTCAAAGATCGCATTTACATGCTACTGATAAGTTATGACTTAAACCTTCAGCCCTTAGGTAAATTGTCATAAGAAGACAGTATTACTCACCATCCTCATGGTCGAATCTTCCCAAAACAAAGTTGATTCCAATCCATGCATAAACCCCTAAGTAAGAAATATAAAAGTCCTCACTTAGTTCTCTACTGCTATGCCATGTATACACCTCTCCCTAGGGCTTCTCTTTCCCCTTTTTCTTGGGAAAAAAGTAATCATAGTATTTTATTCTATACTATCAATGTATAAATTTCAAATCTTTCATCTTGTGATTTTTTTCCCCTTTTAAAATTATTTGCATCTTCTAAATTTCCTCAATGAATAGAAATTAATTGTATAACAAATGTTTTTAAAAATGTAAATCATCTGAATGTCATGAAGATTGAAAAAAAAAAAGAAAGAAAAAAATGTCAATCTTGGAGTTCTAGTTCTGGGCAATCTTGTCTCCCCACTGCATGCAAATATAGACTCTAGGTAGAATGCATGGAGCAGCTTCCCAGAAACTTTGAAAGTAAATGATAATGAACACACCAGGAGAGACCAGGATTTAAACTACCACAGGCCAGTAGTGAGTGTCCCATTTTTCCCCCTCAGAGATTACCTGGTCTAGACTCAAGAGCAGCTTGAAACATGAAAGTACACACCAGGTGTGAACAGAAGAACTTCAACTCACTTTCTGGTCCAAAGAACAGAAAAAGAAAGTCAAAAGTTCAGAGAAAATAGGATAAATCTCCTACTTTTAATTTTTTTTTCTTATTTTGTTCTCTCTAACCTCCAGCAACAGAGGTAAAAGTTGGGCAGGTACCTAAAATTCTGAGAGATGTCTGGTCTTATATGTCTGGTCTTTTCTCTGACCAGAGAAGCTGTAGCTTCAAGAGTGTGAGACAAATCTCTACTGCTTATTTTGTCTGCCTCTGTCTTCCCAACACTTGGCCCTGGAAGCAGATACAATCATGAGAAGTGCATGGCAGAGAGTAGGCAAATTAAAGCCTGGTATTTTGACAGAGAACCATGAAAGGGAGCTCCAAGGAACCAGAAAGTGTCAGGGGGATCACAGACAGTAGGGAGCAAAGTTGTGTATGAATCCCTGGGCTCACTTCCACACTACACATACATAGATCTGACCCTAAACAGCTCTGAGAACTGACCTACAGGCTAGGCCACTGCCCAGGATCCAGATTAGCCACTGGCTGACACACAAGACAAATCCAAATAGCAGTGGCCAAGGCTTTGAAAAATGAGCTAATAGAATAACGGGCTGGGTGCAGTGGCTTATGCCTATAATCCCAGCATTTTGGGAGGCTGAGGTGGGTGAATCACCTAAGGTCAGGGGTTCAAGACCAGCCTGACCAACATGGTGAAACCCCATCTCTACTAAAAACACAAAATTAGCTGGGTGTGGTGGCACATCCCTGTAATCCCAGCTACTTGGGAGACTGATGCAGGAGAATTGCTTGAACCCAGGAGGCAGAGGTTGCAGTGAGCCAAGATTGTGTCATAGCACTCTAGCCTGGGCAACAAGAGTGAAACTCTGTCTCAAAAAAAAAAAAAAGAATCATGGTCCACAGAAGGTAGGTCAGAATTTAAGATCAACTGCCTCCTAAAACAAACAAACAAACAAAATCAATGTTCTCTTTTATTAAAAAAGGACCCAGAGTCTCATAAGATAATAAATATTCAAAATGTCCAAGATAGAATATAAAAATACTTAGCATACAAAGAACCAGAAGAATCTCAACTCATAAAAGACAATCAAAAGATGCCAACTCTGAGATGACACACATAATTAGAATTATCAAAGATATTAGAGCAGCCATATAACCAAGAAATTTGAGCAGTCTTACAAATGGAAAGACAGAAGGTCTCAGCAAAGAAACCCAAAAGAAAAGAAACAGAAAATTAAGATCGAAATAGAAATTTTAAGACTAAAAATCCAATACTGAAATTTTAAAAGGTAAATCTTTTCTCATGTATATGTCTGCAATTAGAAGACATATAAGATCTCCTTCTCTTTTATAAGAAATGGAAATATAATTCATCAAACTGGCCACATTTGGCTGTGTGAGAACACATAGTCACTCTAAAAGTACAAACCCAATAGTGTGAGATTTCAGGGAATTATCAGTACTGCACAGTAACTGTAATAAAGGCAGAGACCGTAACAAAAGAAAAGTAACTCATTCTGATCATCTCCTGAAATTAAAGTTTCTCCTTATTTTAATAATTTACCTTACATATGACTTTGACAAAAACTCAGTACAACTTCTAGAACTGTATGTTTTCAAAAGTATAGTTAACCAAATATCCAGGTGAAATCATTAAATGCTAATGCATTCTTACAAACATAGTGCTTAGCACTAAGTTCAAAAGAGACATACATTTTTGACTTCCAGAAGCAGATTTCTAAAACAGATACTGGTGCAAAATATGCAAATAATTAAAACAACTATGTGGCAGAATCAAGAAAATTATTGGCAGAAAAATTAAAATCAGATATAGAGTAATTCTAAACACCCATTAGAGAGGCTATGCCATGGTTGGCTTAAGGGTGAACCAACTGCACCCGTCAAGACCCAGTACCTTCCTGCTTCCCAGAGATCACTTCTGCCTGAGACTGTGAAAAGAGGAAGTCAAACTCCAGTGGTAAATCTTTCACTAGGTCAGCCAAGATAGCCAACTGCTTTCTGCAAGAAAGAACAGAAAATCCCAAAGTTAGTCACTAAACTCTCTTTTCATAAACTGCCTCAACTTGCCCTTCTACTTAGCCTTGTCATGATCTCACTGTTCAACTACCTCATCTACTTGTCTAGCCCTGCTTCTATTTGGTACTGCCTTTGATTTTTAAAAGTTTAAACTGCCTGCAGGTATAGCCTCCTACTTAAAAGGCAACATGGTAATAGTAATGCTTTCTCCTTATATGATGTTATTATTAAAGGAGTGTTAAAAGATGAGACTATGGTTTTTTTTTTTTTGAAACGGAGTTTCGCTCTTGTTACCCAGGCTGGAGTGCAATGGCATGATCTCGGCTCACTGCAACCTCCGCCTCCTGGGTTCAGGCAATTCTCCTGCCTCAGCCTCTTGAGTAGCTGGGATTACAGGCACGTGCCACCATGCCCAGCTAATTTTTTGTATTTTTAACAGAGACGGGGTTTCACCATGTTGACCAGGATGGTCTTGATCTGTTGACCTTGTGATCCACCCGCCTCAGCCCCCCAAAGTGCTGGGATTACAGGTGTGAGCCACTGCGCCTGGCAGGAACACAATTTCATCCTCAAATCTTACACAACACAGAAACAAGGCTTCACATTACCACACAAGATGTACTGTTGGTTCCACAAGTTTTAATATAATCCTTACATAAGCTAATAATTTACTTATTTTTTTGAGATGGAGTTTGGTTCTTGCTGCACAGACTGGAGTGCAATGACATGATCTCAGCTCACTGCAACCTCTGCCTCCTGGGTTCAAGCGATTCTCCTGCTTCAGCCTCCCAAGTAGCTGGGATTACAGGTGTGCACCACCACACATGCCTGGCTAATTTTGTATTTTTAGTAGAGACAGGGTTTCACCATGTTGGTCAGGCTGGTCTCAAACTCCTGACCTCAGGTGATCCACCCACCTCAGCCTCCCAAAGTACTGGGATTACAGACGTGAGCCACTGTGCCTAGCCACAATTAACTTTTTAATCTCCCTTTCCATATTTCAAGGGCTGATTTTTTTCGTTGTAAAAATCTTACCATTTGAAAAGCCCAGGTCAGGATCAAAATACAGAGGACATAACATTTCCCATTTGGGGAAAACATATGAAATTTCACATCTATAGGGTTATCTTTCCTCTAACATTTTAAGTATGTCATCAATATTAGGAAGCAAAGGAAAGCAAAGAAACACAGCTAGAAGTAATAATATGAATCTAGAGAAAATGTTAGTTAAAATAAAACAAATTATCTTGGATTTTAAAAATTATTCATTACAAAAATATTCTACTGGCTCAGACAATTGTCAGTATGACTTGAAGAATGTTGTTAGCAATTCAAAGTGAAGATCTATATTTGAAGTAATAATCTTCCAATATAATGTCAAGAACAGTTTCTTAAGAAGTTTGTTGTTACACATATTAAATTCTTGCAATAAGAATTTCACATGAGGACCAAGAAGGGGTATTCTTCTCTCTGTATTGGATATGCTTCTAAACTCCTCAAAGAAAGGGTTTGCTGGTTTTGGCAATTATGTGGAAGAATGGGCACCAACTTACGTTGATGTTAGTTATGTAAATTACTAGTACAGGCTGGGTGCAGTGGCTCATGCCTGTAATCCCATCACTTTGGGAGGCCAAGGCAGGTGGATTACCCGAGGTCAGGAGTTTGAGACCAGCCTGGTCAACATGGTGAAACCCTGTCTCTACCAAAAATACAAAAATTAGCCAGGCATGGTGGTGGGTGCCTGTAATCCCAGTTACTTAGAAGGCTGAGGCAGGAGAATCGCTTGAACCCAGAAAGCGGAGGTTGCAGTAAGTCGAGATCATGCCACTGTACTCCATCCAGCCTGGGCGATAGAGGGAGACTCCATCTCCATCAAACAAATACATAAATTACTAGTACAACCTTTCGAAAGGGCAATCCAGGACTGTGTTTCAAAAATTTTCAATGTATTTGACCTTTGATCCAGCTGTTAGATTTTTAGAAATTAATTCCAAGAAAATCGCCAGACAAGAAAATAAAGAAGAGAAATACTGCAGCATTATTTGTAACAATAAAAATTATTTATAACAATAAAAAACTGGAAATACCATACCATAGTGATTGATTGAATAACTTAAGGCACAGCCATGCAATGTAATACTATACAGATGTTAAAGGAAATGAAGTCAATTTATATCTACATATATAGACGTGAAAAGAAAAGATGTCCAATATATTTTACAAAACAGTATAATGTGATTCCATTTATGTTAAAAAAAAACTCAAGGGAGCTCTCGTTGAATCCGCAAACAGGGACATGGATGAATCTGGAGAACGTCAACCTCAGCAAAGTGACACAAGAACAGAAAATGAAACACCGCATATTCTCACTCATAGGTGGGTGATGAAAAATGAGAACACATGGACACAGAAAGGGGAGTACTAAACACTGGGGTCTATTGGGGGGAAAAGGGGAGGGCCAGTGGGAGGGGGAGGTGGGGAGGGATAGCCTGGGGAGAAATGCCAAATGTGGGTGAAGGGGAGAAGGAAAGAAAAGCACACTGCCATGTGTGTTCCTAAGCAACTGTCTTACATGCTCTGCTCATGTACCCCAAAACCTAAAATCCAATAAAAAATTTAAAAAAAAAACTCAAATCATTCATGTATACATAGGGACAGGATAAAACTTTCATTTTCTAAAATTCAATATAATTTCTTTATTTAAAATGCTTTTATAATGGCAAAATGTTGATAATTGTTAAAGCTGAGTGGTGGGTAAATGGGGATTCACTGCCTGTTCTCTTTACTTTTATACACATGTGCAATTTCCTAAAATAAAAATTATTATTTTATTAAACACCACCTTGTATTATCCTATAATTTTTCAAGGGATTTTTTTTTTTTTTAACTACAAAATAAAAGGGAAGTAGAAAAAAGTCTGTTAGTCCAGGCCTTTGGCAAAGAAATAAAACCAAATGCTAATAAATTCAAAATATAGTCTAACTGATTCAACCCTATTTTGAATCTGCTTACAAATGCTAATAAATTAGCAAAGCATTAATCATACAAAATAGGTTCTTATACTGATAGTCACATTTATGCCAACAACTAGCTTGGACTTGAGGCAGCAATGATTTTATAAGCCCAGAACAGATGTATGCATTATTTAGAGAGGTGACCAGAAATCAAGTTGAAAGACAGAAAAAAGGCAAATTTCTTTAAAAGTTCTTAAAATGCAATAAATACTAGTATTCAGAGTTTCCACAAGGACAACATCTTAGACAAATAAGGTGGAGCTCCACAGTGGGTTTTGTTTGGATGGAAACTTCTTTGACAGGTGTAATGCTGAACAGTGCCAGGAGGGGAGGCAACAGTCTCTTGCTCAAAACACACTAACGGGAGCCAAACTACCAAGCAGGTTCCTCTGCCCAGCTCAGATGGTCAATTCTGCCTTTTTAACCTCCAAGTCAGCTTTTTCTCTGGCCTCCCTCCCCTTTCCTTGGCCTTTCATAGGCTTTATGCTGTGGCACCTGCTCTTGTGCCATCTATACTCTTCCCATGGTTTCTAAAATTTTTGAACAATATCACCTATGTCAAGTAAAAATTCTTAACTGCATGCCCAGTATGATTTCAACTTTGTGAACATTACATATATGTGAACAGAGAGAAGGGAATACAATAACGTGAAGCAGTTTTGATGGGGTAGCAGGGTTGTTAAGTCGTATTGTTTGGTTTTGTTCATTTAAAAAATTTCCTTTAATGAGGTAAAGTTGCAGTTAACAATATTTAAAGTGTGGTTTTAAAAATAAGTAAAAACAAAACAAAAAAAATTTTTAAAGACCAAAATGTATGAGGTAATAAGGAACTAAAAAACCTCTCATGTTAGCTGGGTGCAGGGGCTCACACTTGTAATCCCTGCACTTTGAGAGGCCAAGGCAGGTGGATCACTTGAGGTCGGAAGTTCTGAATCAGCCTGGCCAACATGATGAAACTCCATCTCTAGTAATACAAAAAATTAGTCAGGCACAGTGGTAGACACTTGTAATCCCAGTTACTTGGGAGGCTGAGGCAGGAGAACTGCTTGAATCCAAGAGGTGGAGGTTGTAGTGAGCTGAGATCACACCACTGCACTTCAGCCTGGGTGACAAAGTGACACTCTGGCTCAAAAAAAAAAAAAAGCCTCTTGTGTTGATAAATGGCTATATAAATAGTCTTATTCTTGACAGTAAACCAGTAACTGTAAAAAAAAAAAAGTCCACTGAAAGAAGCATTGCTGTTACATGTTATGTTGTCTGCATATCTGATGTAAGCAGTGAAGTCCTACATATATAGCTGAGGTTTTTGTTGTTTGTTGTTATACTCACCTCAGATAGATACTGATCCCAAAGCAGCAAATGACATGAAGTTGGGAATGACAGATTGTGTCATAATTGGCATAGGGGTATAGACCAGGGAACCACAGAGGACAGTGCAGGAAACTGGCCTTTCATCTCTTGTGCCACCGTTTTCCTATGTTCCCTGCACCCTGCATCTCACCTCTCAGGGAGAAGCCTCATGCCTGCTGTGCAGAGGATATAAAGGGGGGTCTCCTTGTGCTTCTTCACAGGCACATGAGCAGCAGCAAAGCTCAGCAGAGGACGAAGGTAATCACTGGCATGTTCTGGAGTGTCTGCCATTGCAGAGATTCCTTGAGTTTAAACAAAAAAAAAAAACAAAAAGAAAACTTTCTTTAAAAAGCAGATTACATAAGACTCAGGAAACTGATACCCTATTAGGGTCTCCTTAAGGTCCTAAACATTTATTTGAGAGGTAGGGGGTGACAATGAATGAAATATCCCTCCCATTACCCAGACTCTCAAGAAAAAAAGGGTAGCTTGCTTTCTCCTTTTTCTCTTTCCTCTTTCATGCCTTAAAAGAGATTGACAACAAAATATATTCTAATTAGTACCTGGCTTGATTTTTTTAACCACTGGTTGGCTGTTGCGGTCTCTCATCTGTTTGATGTCCAGCAAGTCATGGGGGTTCCCATTATGTCTTGGCCAGAAATAAACAAAAATCCGGGAACCACTGCTGCCACAGTCAACAACGAGTCCATAATTCAGATTTGGGTCTTCAGTGTCAGTAGCTTCAAGCTCCCCTACTCGAGCCAAATACCTAAGTTAGGCCAAAAGAGAAATCAGTGCTAAGCAGTCAGGTCCTTGAAAGGCACCCTCACTTACTTCATCTGTTCATGAATCTTCATTAAGTGCCTACATGTGCCAAGCACATGAGACTACCAGTCCTAACTAATGAATGAAGTAATACTGACATATTTACTGATATGTTTTAGTGCCTGAAACAGCTGGTTCGCTTGTCTAGAGGCCACTGAAATTAGATGACTGAAAGATGTCCCCAAGTATGGGGGCAGCTCTGAAACTGGCTGAGGCAGCAATCTTTCTTCAAGCACTAGAGCTTGTAGGCCTGAATAAATAACTGGTTTTTGTTATATGCCACAAAGTTTTGGGGTAGCTTGTTATGCCCACTAGATAACTGAGACAATCTTAATCACTTCTTTTCTATCTTTCCTTTCTGTATAGCTGCATCCAGAATATTGTGGAATGATAGAATGATTTCTCACTGAATGTGTTTCTGGGTAGTGATTTTTTTTTTTTTTTTTTTTTTTTTTTTGAGACAGAGTCTTACCCTGTCATCCAGGCTGGAACACAGTGGTGTGATCTCAGCTCACTGCAACCTCTGCCACCCAAATTCAAGCGATTCTCCTGCCTCAGTCTCCCAAAGTGCTGGGATTACAGGCATGAGCCACTGCTCCTGGCCTGGGTGGTGATATTTTTGATTGGGCTTTTTGGTTTTGCTTTTCTGCTTTTTATTTTGTATCTATATTGCTAGAATTATAGTAACTAAAAATGTACTTCATAAAAACAATAATTATTCTTTTCTATAATCTTTTAAAATATTTTATAAATATAAAAAGAATGTTCATAAAATATGTATAGGGTATAAAGAATAACAATAAAACAAATGCCTGTGTACCTACCATCAATTTTAAAAAATAAACTATACTTTTAAAAAAATGCTTCTTTGTCCTAGGACATTAGTATTTCATGTTGGGACTTTTTCAGATTCTCATTCCAAGATATCTGGCTGGCTGACATCAGGAAGATAAAACAAGTAAAGGTGTTCCATCAAACACATCAAGGTTTGAATCTCAGCTCTATTGCTTTCTATGCTGTGTGACCTTAGGCAACTTAATAAACTTCTCTCAGACTGTTTCCTCATTCGTAAAATAAGGAGGGTGAAGGGTAACTACCCTCACAGAGATCATACATGTAGCAGAACTGTGCTGCTGCTGCTGTTAACAGAATACTTATTGGGAAAGCAAATGGTAGAACACTCTCTGAGGAAAAAGGCTTAAAAGTTCAGAAAATGAAAAAGACTAAGAGTTGATTAAAATACTTCTGAGCATTTGACTATGTGCAGTGGCTCACGCCTGTAATCCCAGCACTTTGGGAGGTCAAGGTGGGCAGATTTTTGAGGTCAGGAGTTTGAGATCAGCCTGGGTAACATGGTGAAACACCATCTCTACTAAAAATACAAAAATTAGCCTGGCATGGTGGCAGAAACCTGTAATCCCAGCTCCTTGGGAATAAGAAGCAGGAGAATCACTTGAACCCAGGAGGCAGAGGCTGCAGTGAGCCAAGATTGTGCCATAGCAATCTAGCCTGGGTGACAGAGCAAGAATCCATCTCTCCATCTCAAAAAAAAAAAAAAAAAAAAAAAAAAACCTTCTGAGCACTGAGGCTTTAATATTAAAATTCCCTCATAATCAAGGGTCTGAAAAATAGAAACATTACTAAATTCTCTACACAGGCTTCACTTGAAGCAGAGCCCAGTGAGAAGGACTTTTAGTTTATTATCCAGAAAAGAAAAGCTCTTTACTGGGGCTAAGAATGCATACTGCATGGTAGGCATTAACATCTTGTCTATTAAATGCTTTAAAATTTTGTGGTTACTATAGACTGAGCTAATCATTATCTAAATAAATCCCCTGAGAGTAAAGCTGTGATCTTTTCAAGCACTATAGCTGAATTCCCTTCTTTAAAAGATATCTGCCCCGCACATCCAACATTGTTTTTAAAGCCAACTCCTAGATCTCCAAGGCTCTTACTCAGAACCCCTCAGAACCAGTTTTTGTGATGTCTGAAGCGAACAGAATTTGGAAAGCCTTCTTTTAAAAACAAGATTCAGCATTACAAAGAGAAAAAAAAAAAGCCCATTTAAGTGAGGGGCTTTAAGGTATAGGTATCATTAGTAAACCCACCTCCAATCAGAACAATAAACCACACATCACACTCCTGAAACCAATTTAGCCAGTGTTTACTGGTGATTTCACATTTTTATACAGACAACACAGTTCCTTATCTGGGCAAAAAAGCAAACTTGATGAAAAGAACATGTAGAAATAATTCTGAAATCAAAAAGTAGAGTAGCTTTCCTATACTACAATGCAAAATGCATTTTTTTTTTTTTTAAAAAGAGAAGAACACAGAATTGAGCCTCAATATAATGTTGTAAATTATTACTCAGAGTAGGGGTACTCTCTCTCAGAGAACTTTTTTCCTGGATCTGAAATGGTAGTCAGTTAAGGGAAATGAAGCAGATGGTAAAAATCTGTTATATAACAGAAAGTTTCTAATCCTAAAGATTCCATTTCACCACATACTTTCCCATTCTAATCAAATCACTGGGCTGAACTGGGCTAGAATCCACCAATCAACTAGTAACAGCTCATTTATATCACCTGAGAGCTGGGCAAAAGTCTGGGTTCAAGTCACAGAACTCCTGCAAATACTGACCTCACAAGAGGTCACAGATAAAAAAGAAACAGGCAAGATAATCCACCCCCATTCCAAAGTGACTTTTCATTTCCCATCATAGCAATCTTTCTATTTCATATGCTTCACAAAATCTTCCTGCTCTCCCTCTCTGAAAACCACCCACTCTGCTTGTCTCTTGCAAGATTCTGGATCCCATCCCCTTCTGCATAATAAATAACTTTTCTCTAGTGCACTTGTTCTCAAATTTGGGGGCCTTAAGACTCCTTTACAATCTTAAAACTTATTAAGCCCCAGAGAGCTTTCGTAGACATAGGTTATATCTATCTATAATTACTATATTAGAAAATAAAACATAAAAATGTTAAATATTTATCATTGCATTTAAAGAAAACAAAATCATTACATATTAATAATTTTTATGAAAATACACATATCTTCTAAAACAAAAAAATAGAAGAGTGGCATTGTTTTATAATTTTGCAAATATCTTCAGTAGGCAAACTAAAAGAAGACCCTAGATTCTTGGATTTACTTCCGTATCCAATCTGTTACAATCATGTTGTTTTGGTTGAAGCGTTTGTGTGAAAATTCAGCCTCACACAGACATACTGTTGGAAACAGGAGGATTATTAAACAGCCCTTTCAGATTACAAATATTCTTCTTTGATAGTATACTAAAACTCAACAAGTATGGTTTCTTCAAGATTAGTTGCAATTAGAATCTAAAACCCTATCTAAAAACTTTTCATACTCTATTAAAATCCATAGGTTTACCATGTACTTTGAATGGCTTTTATCCAAGCATGATTTCATAACATCATATATTGGAAAATATTGGTTCACTGAGTTATGCAAATATTCCTAACATTGACACATTTCATTCTACAATACTTTAAAAAAAACCCCATATTCATTAATATCACCGCCAATCTTACTCAAAAAGTCTTTTAAGTATTGGGAAGCTATCCAATTCACAACAGCAGATACAGTTTTCCAAAATACTAATTTTCACTTGGAAGTTCAAATTTTAACATTGGCAATAAATATTGAAAACTATTTTTCATGAAGTAACAGATTTACTTCATTCATATTCAAGGAAATGTCTATAAAATACCCAAGTCTGAAACCATAGCTTTTCTGGCAGTCATTCTTTTAAGTAAAATAGTGTTCCACGATAAAAGCAGCTGGGTTTACCTCATAACTCAAAAAACTGCCCAAGTGTTTTTACTCTAGACAACTTCAGTATACAGCAGAAGTGCTTAATGCCTATTTCCCCCTTCATCACTTAGAATATTAAAAAGATATTCATAAGTGGAACTGAATATTTTCTTCCAATGCAATTGTGTGACAATGAAGAATATAGTAACTACTAGTACAATGTGATGCTGATTACATTTGTGTAATTTGTGCTGAAGCATTATTAGCAGTTTTACCTGCCATTGCTTTTGCACCACCAAAGCAAATACCAATCAACTCAGTGAAAAAGGCAAATAACACAACAGTCAAGAGATGGAAGCAACCCAAATGTCCATCAATAGATGAATGGATCCACAATGTGGTATATACATACAATGAAATATTAGTCCACCTTAAAAAGGAGGAAATCCTGTCATATGTTACAACACAGATGAATCTTCAGGATATGATGCTAAGTAAATAAGCCAGGCACAAAAAGACAAGTACTGTATATGATTCCACCTATATGAGGTATCTAAAGTAGAAAGAGAAAATTTAATGGTAATTACCAGCAGCTGGCTCGAAAGAGAGAAAGGAGAGTTGGTTAATGGGTGGAGTTATGATCTGCAAGAAGAAAAAATTCTGGAGATTTATTTTACAACAATGTAAATATACTTAATACTAATGACGGTACAACTAAAAATGGTAAATTTTATACATTTTGAACCATAGTTTTAAAAGTCAAAATAACATCTTAGTATTTTAAAAATAGTTTCACCCTCACAGACTCCCGAAGGGCTACTAAACACTCTGAGAACCACTGCTCTAATATAACCTTCCTTCCCTCTTTAACATCCACCTGCTTCTCTGCCTACTCCTTCCCCTCTCCCGGCTCCTTGGACATGGCTTCTCAGTTCTTCAGAAGCCTCTACTCAACATTGCTGACTCTGGTAGTATCCACAATGATTTGAAATGATTTCTTTTCCTTCTGTTCTAACATGTGGATGTCAATATTTCCTTTAAGCAGTTTGTTTATATTTCAGTATGAGCCCCTAAGATTTCTTTCCTATTTCCTTGCTGTACCTCTCCGTTGAGACTATAAGTTTCTCAAGAACAAGTATGTTTCCTGTAGTACCTTGATAT